CCTCCGAGAAGCACTGGTGGCTATGTACGGTGCGAAAGAAGTTCAACATACATCTAAGAAGTTCAACATACATCTAACATCACAGCATCGTCTAACAAACCATCATTATTCTAGATTTGAAGTTTGTGTGACTGCAGGAATCCATACTCTTAGGTTTTTTCGTTAAAGTCACGTAGGTATCAAATAAAATAAATCACGATGTTTCGATTGCAATACAAGCAATTATCATCAGGTGGGAAAACCAAAGCAAGAACATTTTTTTTTGCTGAAGTGGGAGAGAAAGAGAGCTGCCGTGGTAAGAGGTTATATAGGTAAGAAAGGGGGGAGGAGCAAAGGGGGAGAGAGAGGGGGGGGTGTGGGGTAGGGGAATGCTGCGTGGACAAAAGGAGAGGGACGTGAGGCTGGGAGGGGGTGGAAGTGGGCGGGGCTGGAAGTGGGAGTCCGAGAGAGCTGAGGATGCGGGGGGGGGGTTAACTCGGAAAAATACTCGTACCCGGCAGATATGATAGACAACAACCATAAAGCAGTTAGGGTTTTACCTGGTTAATAACATCCTTCCAATTATTGCTCAATTTGTATCAATTTTCTCGGTTGAAGTGTTTTGATAAGGGAATTCGACAGAACTTCGACAGAATTCCCTTATCAAAACACTACACCATAGGGCCCACTGCATTTCTGACGAACACCATCTAGCCAGTGAACTGGAACATGTACACCAGACCCTCAAGATGAATGGGTACTCGAAGCGCATTATTCGCAAAGCTGTTTCTCCAGCCATGGAGAAACAACCCCCTGAGAAGCCAATCAAAACCATCATGTTACCATACATAGCAGGTGTTACCAAAAAGATTTCCAAAATCTTAAACACAAGATCCAGGTCCGATTCAATACAGTACACAAAATCCACGATCTAATCCCATCTGTGAAGGATGTCATTCCTGACATGCAATATCCTGGAGTCTACAAACTGAGTTGTACCTGCGGCAGCAGTTACATCGGGGAAACGAAACGACATGTCTCGGACCGTGTCCGCGAACACAAGGCAGATCTGAAACACAGCAGAACCAATACCCTGCCATAGCTGACCATTGTTATAATGCTGTGGGCTCACATGATATTGTTTTTTGGAGACCAAGGTACTCTGCAAACCTTCGGGCTACTATCAAAGGTTTGTTCATGAAGCCATCCTGATATATAAATACAGTGAGGGAAAAAAGTATTTGATCCCCTGCTGATTTTGTAAGTTTGCCCACTGACAAAGAAATGAACAGTCTATAATTTTAATGGTAGGTTTATTTGAACAGTGAGAGAAAGAATAACAACAAAAAATCCAGAAAAACGCATGTCAAAATTGTTTTAAATTGATTTGCATTTTAATGAGGGAAATAAGTATTTGACCCCCTCTCAATGAGAAAGATTTCTGGCTCCCAGGTGTCTTTTATACAGGTAACGAGCTGAGATTAGGAGCACACTCTTAAAGGGAGTGCTCCTAATCTCAGCTTGTTACCTGTATAAAAGACACCTGTCCACAGAAGCAATCAATCAGATTCCAAACTCTCCACCATGGCCAAGAGCAAAGAGCTCTCCAAGGATGTCAGGGACAAGATTGTAGACCTACACAAGGCTGGAATGGGCTACAAGACCATTGCCAAGCAGCTTGGTGAGAAGGTGACAACAGTTCGTGTGATTATTCACAAATGGAAGAAACACAAAAGAACTGTCAATCTCCCTCGGCCTGGGGCTCCATGCAAGATCTCACCTCGTGGAGTTGCAATGATCATGAGAACGGTGAGGAATCAGCCCAGAACTACACGGGAGGATTTTGTCAATGATCTCAAGGCAGCTGGGCCTATAGTCACCAAGAAAACAATTGGTAACACACTACGCCGTGAAGGACTGAAATCCTGCAGCGCCCGCAAAGTCCCTCTGCTCAAGAAAGCACATATACATGCCCGTCTGAAGTTTGCCAATGAACATCTGAATGATTCAGAGGACAACTGGTTGAAAGTGTTGTGGTCAGATGAGACCAAAATGGAGCTCTTTGGCATCAACTCAACTCATCGTGTTTGGAGGAGGAATGCTGCCTATGACCCCAAGAACACCATCCCCACCGTCAAACATGGAGGTGGAAACATTATGCTTTGGGGGTGATTTTCTGCTAAGGGGACAGGAGAACTTCACCGCATCAAAGGGACGATGGACTGGGCCATGTACCGTCAAATCTTGGGTAAGAACCTCCTTTCCTCAGCCAGGGCATTGAAAATGGGTCGTGGATGGGTGTTCCAGCATGACAATGACCCAAAACACACGGCCAAGGCAACAAAGGAGTGGCTCAAGAAGAAGCACATTAAGGTCCTGGAGTGGCCTAGCCAGTCTCCAGACCTTAATCCCATAGAAAATCTGAGGGAGCTGAAGGTTCGAGTTGCCAAACGTCAGCCTCGAAACCTTCATGACTTGGAGATCTGCAAAGAGGAGTGGGACAAAATCCATCCTGAGATGTGAGCAAACCTGGTGGCCAACTACAAGAAACGCCTGACCTCTGTGATTGCCAACACGGGTTTTGCCACCAAGTACTAAGTCATGTTTTGCAGAGAGGTCAAATACTTATTGCCCTCATTAAAATGCAAATCAATTTATAACATTTTTGACATGCGTTTTTCTGGATGTTGTTGCTATTGTCGCTCACTGGTCAAATAAACTTACCATTAAAATTATAGACTGATCATTTCTTTGTCAGTGGGCAAACATACAGAATCAGCAGGGGATCAAATACTTTTTTTCCCTCACTGTATAACTTGAACCGAGAAGATGGATACAAATTGAGCAATCATTGGAAGGATGTTACTAACCAGGTAAAACCCTAACTGCTTCATGGTTGTTTATCATATCTGCCGGGTACGAGTCTATTTTTCCGAGTTAACGACCCCCCGCATCCCCAGCTCACTCGGACTCCCACTTCCCCAGCCCCGCCCACTTCCCCAGCCCCGCCCACTTCCCCAGCCCCCGCCCACTTCCCCACCCCCTGGCGTTACGCCCCCCTCCTGCTCCCCCCCCCCTTTCTTACCTATATAACCTCTTACCACGGCAGCTCTCTCTCTCCCACTTCAGCAAAAAAAGTGTTGCTATGATTTTCCCACCTGATGATGATTGCTTGTGTTGCAATCGAAACGTCGTGATTTATTTATTTTTATACCTACGTGACTTTACCGAAAGAACCAAAGTATACACCATTATTATGCCATCATAAACACACCACCATCTAACATCGGCACCAGTGTCGATACCTAGTCTATTTTTAGGCGTATAGTTGCTGCTGCTGTTATTGCTGTAGTGCGCCACTCACGTGCACGTGCAGGCGCGGTACACGCGCGCGACCTCGGCGTCCGTGTCGAGCACGCGCGCACTCGCCACCAGACAACAAGTTTCAAGTTTCATTTATTAGGTATAGCCCTGTGAGCCATGCGGCTCTTAAGTCGGGTGCAACCGCAACAAACAAAATTTGAACACAGAACATCTTAAAGCGACAACGCGTAACAGAAACATCCTGGAATAAACCAGCAAATATTCCATACAAAAAACGTATTCAAACGCTGTGTTAAAATAAATGTGGTGCAAGCCAACAACAACCATAAGACAATTTAGATTAACCATGTTTTCGAATCACCAAAATAAAGCTGTAAAACAATGTAACAACAGTAATCATAGGAACTGTGAATTTAAATTTAACAATAAACGATATACATAACACGTACGACAAAAAAACTGCAGACATAGCTGGCAGAACGACACTCCCAGTGTATGATGTGTGAGTGAGTGTATGATGTGCGAGTCAGCGTACGATGAGTCAGCTGCAGCGTGAGTGTATGATGTGCGAGTCAGCGTATGAAGAGTGAGATAGTGAATGATGTGTGAGCGAGTGTATGATGTGTGAGCGAGTCAGTCGCAGTGTGAGTGTATGATGTGTGAGTCAGCGCACGATGTGTTAGCGCATGATGAGTGAGTCAGTGTATGATGTGCGAGTGAGCCAGCAAACAATGAGTGAACCTGTGTATGATGAGTGAATGGGTCAGTGGTTGTGCGAGTGTATGTGTGAGTGAGTAAGCGCATGATGAGCGAGTCAGTGCATAATGTGTGAGTCAGTGCATGGTGTGAGTCAGTGCATGGTGAGTGAGTCAGTGTATGATGTGTGAGTCAGGGGGGGGGGGCCGACTCCGTCGGCCCCCCCCCCCCCGACTCCGTCGCCCCCCCCCCCCCGACTCCGTCGCCCCCCCCCCCCGACTCCGTCAGCCCCCCCCCAGGCCCCCTCACAAACGGCCCCGCCAGCCGCTGCTGGCCGCGCGCGCCTCAGGCGGCCATCTTGCGGGCTGCGCGGGCCTCTCGGCCGTGAAGCTGGCGAGGAATCCGGTGCCGGCGTCCTCGCCGTCCGTGCGCATTCGCAGCCAAAGACAAAGGTCCCCCCGTATAGCCTTCAAACAGACTGTTGGGGCAAGTGGTGTTTGTTAGAGCACTTATGCAGGCCGGCACGGCACACGAGGTGGGTGACCAGCACCACGCTTGGCCGCCTCTCTCCCTAGTGGCGATGTTTACACAGCACCGGGTACTCATTTGAGGCTGAGTCGACCTAGGGAGGGCCCAGGACCGTTTGTAATAATCGTCACTCGGGCAATCGACCTCGGGTCGCCGGCTTCGTGGCGCAGCACCGCGCAAAACCGCTGCACCACCGCTCCCCCGCTATTACAGTGAAGCACTGTACCCAAGGCAAGATGGCCGCCCGCCCCACGTGACTCGGCGCGCGCACTCTGCCTGACACCACGTGCCGTCGCCCAGGGCACGCGGTCTCGCGCCGTCACCCAGGGCACGCGGTCTCGCGCCGTCACCCAGGGCACGCGGCCTCGCGCCGTCACCCAGGGCACGCGGCCTCGCGCCGTCACCCAGGGCACGCGGTCTCGCGCCGCCGCCCCTGCTGACGGAGTCGCTCCCGCGTGAGTCTCTTGGGCTTCTCGTGTCCAGCGTCTTTCGGTTTCTTGCGGCTCAGTGCGAGTCGCTTGCTATCTGTAAGGGTCTCTTTGTGGGCCTTTGTGTGTGTCGCTTGCTATCTGCAAAGGTCTCTTTGTGGGCCTTTGTGTGAGTCGCTTGCTATCTGTAAGGGTCTCTTGTGAGTCTTTGTGCGAGTCTCTGGGCCCGTGAGTCTCTGGGCCTAGTGCAATAGACAAAAGAATGGAGCCTGCCGATGTCTCCTCCACGTGGCGTGGCACTGCAGCCGCTCCCCGCTCGCGTGGGCCCGTGCAGTTGCACCGCCTGCACACGCGGTAGTAGACGCGGTGGCCACTGGTGGTGTACCGCGTGCTCATAGTTGTCTGTACTGTATAGTCATTTCCCAAACAGGAAAATAAAGGTAATTGTTTATAGCACATAGGGTTATAGCACAATACAGTTTTTTGTTTGTTTAGATCGCGTGTAATAGTTTTTTGGGGTAAAAATGTTCGCGATCTAACCCAAAAAAAACCTGTATTATGGATGATATTGGTCGCGAAAGCCTACGCATTGAACTGTTTATAGCACAGTCTGCATGCACGTGCGTTTTGTGTTGGTGTGCTTGCTCCGTACACTCCGAGTAGCACCGTTGGCCATGTAGAAAGAAGTTCAACATAGTAAACATTGTTTTACTTGCTACATCCGTAAAAGGAGCAGATGACGGCAAAATTAACTAAAGTTTCGTGTAAGGCAGTGGCGCTTACAAACAGACACGCCTTGAGTTCAGGTGCATAGACAGTAAGAGTCTCGTTGAGACGCAACGTGAAGATTCCTGAAGAGAATTACATTTCTGACGGGGAGAATCGGCGGAAACTCGAATCTGAACCATTTCTGGGGGCCTCCCTTAGGTCTGCTCGGCCTTAAATGAGTAGACAGTTCGCTGTGGACTCATGAGACAAAGACGGCTGTGATGCTGCTTACGCGACCACTAATACAGCACGCTGTTGACCTTCATAGAAGCTCTCTCGCTGCCCTTGATGTGCAGAGCTTAAAATAGCGAATTGATTCCCCGAAAGAAGATCTGAGCTGGTCATCAAAATAAGCGGACAAACTCCGAATAGTTTTTTTTACGCTTCCCGTCATCAACACGCACCATTGTGTAATTTCAAGCAGCATTGGTTTAACACAAGCAGGTAAGAATTGTTTCAATACCACCAGGTAAATGAGTTGCTAGATGTACTGTTAATGTATTAAGTGCATAGGTTAAATGTGTTAATCTAATGGATTAATAATATAAGTACTGTAAATACTATTGTAGTAGCTTAATCCTGCCTTCCCTCCCTCAGTCCATAGTTGCGTCACCACTCACTGCTGGCCTAAACCAGCCCGCGCCTGGAGCAGAGCACGTGTCGAGCACGTGGTGAGGATGTCGTGGTCGTTGCTGAACACAGGCACCGCGGGGATGCACTCGCGCTCCTGCAGATCCTGCTTCCGAAACTACATCCTGGCATGTGAGTTCCAACTACACCCTGGCGTGTGAATGTAATGCAAGACTCCTGCAGCTTGCAAGCGTTGACTTTGAATGCTTCTGCAAAGGTAAAGAAGTCATCACAGCCTGTGCTGTTGGTTGCACATACCGCGCCATCGCTTCCTTCAATTTGCCAGAACCCTCAATGTCTATGCCTGCTTATCTGTTGGTCATTTTCCTTTGCGTCAACCCTGGGGTGCCACTTCCAGTGATTGAAAAAACAGCAGCCAACAGTCACAAGTGGCTGATAAAATTGGTAACACATTGGCAAATGAAAAACATTGGCCTCGAGTTACTCAATGGGGTGCCATGGTTTTCAGATGTTAACTACCTCGCCTGGTAAACAGAAGGTTGTGGGTTCGATCCCGACCCTGACGCGTGTATATTTGTAGTTTGCATGTCTCTCTCCCATGGTCGCATGGAATTTTCTCCGGGTCCTCCAGTTTTTCCATCCACATTTATTAATATGCGTTTATAGTATTTGGGTTTGACTTAAAGCTTTCGTGACTGCAGGAATTCATATTCTTTGGGTCTTTCGGTAAAGCCACGTAGATAGAAAAAATAATACAAATAATACCACGACGTTTCGATTGCAACACAAGCAATCGTCATCAGATATTGTTTTAATTTGATTAGTTTTTCTATCTACGTGGCTTTACCGAAAGACCCAAAGAATATTAATAGTATTTGGGCTGATATACATTTCCACATGATACGCCACTTTGTTGACCTATCATTTGTGATAGCCAGGTCGCTTCTGAAAAAGAGCCACATAGCTCAGTGGACCTAACCTGGTAAAATTAAAATGGTTGGTTTTTTCGTTTTCAATTGAACCTTATGGCAGGACCCCGGCGTCCCGAATAAACGGAAATCAAAATCGTAATTAATTTATTTTTGCCGACTCCGTCCCACCGCGCACATTAACGCTGCAACCCACCTGGCGCGGATGATTCTGTTGTCATGTCGTCCAAGCGCAGCGAGAACGAATGCGCATTTAGAAACAACACTTTTAAACTTTGATTAGCGCATCGTGTCGACCTCGTCGAGAGGAATAGTGCCGTATCGTTCGCCTTCACCAGACTTAAAATGACTTCGCGACGCAGTTTATTGCGAGAGCCGGGGGCTTATGGGACCCCGGGGTCCCGCCATAAGATTCAATTGGTGCAGCCAAGATTGTTGTACAGTGGTTGACACGTAATTTGTGTGTCCTTTTTCTTTACAGCAGTCTTCATGTGGCCACATGCCATAGGAAGTGAAGTTGCATTCTGTAGTGTTCCCCACTCCTTAAACCCTATAGCCTTAACCCCTAATCCTCACAGGAAAACTCAAAAACTTTGCATACCTTAATCCAGTAGACCCTCGATTATCCACGTGCGGTTTACTTGATTTGCGGATTAACCGTGCACCACCTGAGATTTTGGCATAAATTAATAATTAATAAGATTATTTTATTCTCATTCTACGTGACTTTACCGAAAGAACCAAAGAAGATGAATTATTGCAGTCACGAAAGCTTTAAATCGAAATTTAAATCGAAAAATAAATTAATAACTCATGGATTTTGCCTCAAGCCCAAATTAATAATCTAAAAACAGTTATACATCGCATCAACTCCCAGCCCTGTGCACATTTTCACCCCCCCCCCCGCCACTTCGCCGTTGCTTTGTTGTACTCGCTCCCTCGCCCGTTCAAGTGCACCCGTTCTTGCAGCTCACCACCCCCTACCCCACACCCTCCTCTATCTCTCTCCTCCCTGGCTCCTCACCCCCCCCCCTCTCTTGTTTATATAGCCTCTTGTTTAGAGAAGCTCTTTTGCCCACTTTAGCAAATTGTTTCATGCTGTGGGTGTCCCACCTGATGGCGGACGCTTGTGTTGTGCCAAAATCGTCGTGATTTGATGTATTTATTTCATTTATTTGATTTTATACGTTACTTTACCGAAATAACCAAAGAGTATACATTGATATTCTTGGATATTTTTATTACAAGTCACGTGCTTAAACCGAACAAATATGTTGCTCCAGGTTGATCCGAAATCCATGTGATCATCTCTAAAGTACAGTAGTTGTATATCTTTACAACAGTGGATGGAGTTTTATTTATGTTGATTGGCGTGGCTCTGCTGCTGTCCACTAAGTGGGCCGAGTAATTTGCGCGGGAGCAATGAAGTGTTATAACTGAGCACGCGCATAATCGATCGGTCGATTCTTTACTACAAATTATTTCGTAAACAAACTCATCTTTCTTAACTTAAACATAAGTTATATCTATTTTCGTGCTTTTTGGCATGGAGATCCACGAAAAATTTTCATTTTTTATATTGCCCGCGATTTTGAATTATCCGCGGCCATCCTCCCCATCATTAGCACGTATAATAGATAGTCTACTGTACTTTATTAGCTGAATTCTAAACAAAATCCTGAATGAATATAAAATCAGGTCTTTGATTGAAACTAAAAACCTGCACGGACAGTAATTCCAGACTCGAGTTTCACCCCCTTAATCTGCAATGATGACGAGGAGTCGCCGCTTTCAAATGGAAAATGCCGACACTGTCTTTGCACGTCAGGTGCTGTCTTAGCACTTCGTCCATGCCTTCGTTGAGATTTTAAAGTTATCCGTTTCCCAGTGGAGCCTGGGGCACCCAACAGCCGCCCCTACCTGCTGGTGTGCGGACACGTCTTCTGTGGAGCATGCCTGCAGGACAAAGGCACACACGCAGGCTGCGAGTTTGCGTGCCCCACTTGCAAGGTACAGTTATTACAATTGTACGGCCACGTACGTATGGTTGTGTGCACGCGCGTGTACGAGTGTATGTACTGATGTGTCTATGTACATCTGCCTGCATGTGTACGATATTGTAGCGGTTAGTGTGCTGCGCTATGAACTTGGCGAGCCGAGTTCGATTTCCACTCACGGACACCAACACCAGTGACGATTATCTGAAGTGGTCCTGGGCCTCCCCTAGGTTGACTCAGCCTCAAATGAGTACCTGGTGCGGTGTGTAAACACCCCACTAGGGAGACAAAGGCGGCCGGGCGTGATGTTAGCCATCCACCGCCTCGTATGCTGTGCCGGCATTCATAGATGCTATTTGTTAAAAGCACTTGCCCCAAACAGTCTCTTAAGGCTCCATGGGGGAATCTTTGTCTTTTGTACGTGAACGTGTCATCAAAATGCCTCGGCTAGTTTTGTGTGAAGCCCCCAGTGGCGTAACTGGGCATTTCTGCAGTGGAAAAAAACAACCTGCAAATGTGAGCCAAAGACTGACTAACTCTGTGTATCCCCAATTACATACATCCAGATTAATTTGTTTACGGTGAAAACTAAGTTTTGCGGGAATTGACAAATCGCTTTGGCAAGTGACCAGAATGGATGGATGCGAGTCAACTAGATGGCGCTTGCGTCTGTCTGTCTGATTCGCAGCGACGAGTTTTACTCACTCGATACCATGCTTGCAATAGTTTCCTTGTATTTGGCAAGCAATCGGAGAGGGAGAAACGGTGACGCCATCTCTTTGTACGCTCTCGCTTTTAGGAGTCTACTGCTTGACATTGTAAGGTTAAACTACCAAGCTATCAGTTTAAGACATCCTGCTATCGTGACAAATATTATCCATAATAGAGGTTTTTTGGTTAGATGGCGTAAATATAAATGTCGTTAAACCCGCCACCACCCGACACGGCCAATTAGTAAGGTTTGTCACGTAAACAAAACATGACAATTAGTGACTAGTACAGCACACTGGTTTGTTGGAGAGTAAAGGTGGATTAAAATACAGGAAAATCTCTTGTTATCTGGCACTCTACCATCTGGAATGCTCTTAACTAGCCAGCATAAGTCGTAGACGGCAATGGGTTGCGGAAGACTCGACTTATGGAAATCCTACCTTATGGAAATGCTTCCATAAATCATGTAACAAAAAAATTCAATATGCAAAATTTTTTGCATTAATTACGTAAACGCATATAGTGCAGTGTGCTGAGGTTCGGGATAAATACTGTGGAGGGAGACGTAAGGCGGGCAACCTTATGTCTCGCTCGAGCTTCACCCGGATTAATACATTTATTGTAGTGTTACGTAATTTTCTTCCTTTCGTAGTTGTTTATTATCTATGCTTAGAACTATATTTTCCCCCCGTGTTTCTATTGATAGTTTTCTTAAATTTAAGGAACATTTTTAGGAGTTATTTACTGTATGTACTTAATTTAACACAATTCCACTTCGATTGCTCATGGTCTGAGCAAACAGTGACCCGGAGAAGTCGAGGCCTAGCCTAATACACAGAAAGCAAACATTCGGAAGTGACTGCTTTCTGTTAACAATTGATATTAAAATGTTTCGTGGTCTTCATAAACAATTGGATAGAGTCAGGGGCGGAGCCAGGATTTTCAGCCAGGGGTGACATTCAACAAATTTTAATTTCAAGAATGATTAGAGTGTCAGGCTGTTGAACTAGACGCCATCGGTTGGTGACACCCTCTGACAATGCAGTTGCACGGAGTCCGCCAGACCGAGTGTCGTACACTTATACGCAGAATGTTTCAGATTTTCGATTTTTTTTCGGGGGTGACAATTGTCTACCCTGTCACCCCCCTGGCTCTGCCCCTGGATAGAGTATATGTTCCATTCGTTTAATTATAGGCAGTGTTAGGGTTGATATTCTAAGAAATTGAAGAATCGTAGGAAATGCAAGAGCACAGCGATATTATACAGGCAGCGATAGAAAACTAACGACAGCGGGATACAGTACTAAGAGAAAACAAACTAGTAATCGGGTAGGGGAGGCACAACTATTTCCTGCTATGGGATGTTATCTTGATTTTAGGGGATAATTGTTCAGTTTCCGACATACGGAAAATTCGGGTTACGGATTGCTCTCGGGAACCCCTAACCCTTTCGTCACCCGGGGACTGTCTGTATCCAGAAAAATTCCGACGGCCGTCCGTCATCTTGCTGTGCGCTTCTCGTAGTTCCATTATTTACGGGAGCTTCAGGACGCTGCCGGGTGGTGGCGCCTCGTGGAAGTGTCAGTTTGTAAACAATCCGCTATGGTGATCGCGTTGTGCTGTATCCCATTTTTTCGCCATATGGCATTGTAATGTATAACGACTTATTGTTAGTAGCTCAGCTGATTGGAGAGTATATAGAGTTTATTGATAGCATTGATGTAGTTTATATTTTAGTTTTTTATTAGTTTACTATATGGTATTCATTATATAGTGTAGTGTATACCCAGTTACTTTATGTTTATAGCTCAACTTATTGAAGAATATATTGAGTACATTTATTATTGATGTAGTTTATACTTAGTTTTTTTCACATCGGTTTATTGTATGATAGTTGGTTAAGTTGCAGTCCTTTAGCGTCCATATACTAAATGCCTTTGTTGAGATGTAAACTTTGACTTTCACATAGCTATTTCCGTGACCAGTCACATGCTAATCCCTTACATTAACATCATGCTAATCTCCCAGTTACATGCTAATTTCTGACTTTAACACCCTGCTGATCCAACACTTTAACACAGCTATTTCAATGCTAAATTCTCCTGTTTGATATGTAAACTCCTTTGTCAAGGCGCTTTACCTCTCCCCACCTAGCTTAAAAGACGCTGCAAATCTTAACAGCAGTCATTGAAGCGCTGTCCCGACAGTTCTGTTCCTTCACCTGAAGAAGGCTAATTGTGTTGTGGCTGAAACGTCGTGAGAATTTTATTCTTTATTTTGTTTTATTTTTATTATTTTATTTCCATTCTACGTGACTTTACCGAAAGAACCAAGAAGATACATTCAACGTATCGTATCGTGGTAACCCTAAAAAGAAATCGCTAAAACTACGTATCATACATGCATTGAACGTATCGTAACGTATCATATTGTACTGTACTCACCCAAGATTCTGTCCATCGTCTGCATACTTGAAAGATGTTAGGTTGTTGATGGCTACATTGAAAATATTTTACAATTTTGTCGTATCACTATCGCCATCGTAAGATCGAAATATGTCGGACCATCGTAACTCGGGGACTATCTGTCCCTCTGTAAAAAGCAGATATTATTTCTTACATTATAGTTAAAATGTAGGCTTAGTTTCTTTCGTCAAAAGTTGTGTGCACTTGTAAAATGTTGTGAACCATAAGTATAACCAGATATCATGGATTTCTGATACAGAGATTTTCCTGTAGACAGCTGCATCAGCGACACTACTGCCCATTAAACCACTAACTTTAAATGTGGGCCCATTTTGGATGAATGTGGAGTTTCTCCACCACTGGCTGAGAACCGGCAGTAGAGGAGGGTGGTGAGCATTATATCCCGTACTCAGATACCGCATTCGCTTGAAAACACAAGTCAGAGGTTTAATTTTTTTTTAAAAGAAGTTGAGAGAGCCGGGAGAGCTGCGCACATCTCGGATTGATTGAGAAAATAACGCTCATAAGTTGTTTTTATAATGGTGTTGGTCTGGTCTTGCGCTGCTGATTGCCCCCCCCCCCCCCCCCCCCCCCCCCCCCCCCCCCCCCCCCCGGGGTGGTGCAGATGGTGACCAGGATTCCTGGAGCCGGTGGCTTGTCTCAGCTGCCCCTGGATTACTATTCACTTGGAGTTTTGGCCGCATACAACTACTCGTGCGGTGTCCCACGGTAAAAATAATTTTAAAACGGGTTCAACTGGCCAAACGTCCCCGATGTAGCAGCACCCACCTGAAAAACAAGTCTTGAGGATTTGCGAGCTAAAGGAAGTGGATAGTTCCTCACTATTGCACAGCGTCTTCAGATGCTGTCGCAAGTCGATGTTTTGATGTTGTGGCAAATAGCATAAGAAATAGGGCCACGTTCCCATACTCCAGAACCTATCGTATTCCCAAACACCTCACTTTCCCCCTGACTCTTTTTATTTCTGAAAGAGCCATGCGATTTTTTTTCTGAGGCATTTAACCTTTTAACGATTCAACCACTATAAACTCGGTGATTTTTGTGTAACGACGCTACAGATTAATAAAAAAACTAAAAGTGGTTGACACTTGCTAAGTGGTGGTAATTTCAGGTTCTAGTGTGATCTGGAGGCTTATGAAAATGGAGTCCTTCTAAGCCCATAACATTTTCATATTCTTTGGGTCTTTCGGTAAAGTCACGTGGATAGGTTCAAAGAAAATCTATTTATGTGACTTTACCGAAAGACCCAAAGAATATTAATTCCTGCAGTCACGAAACCCTTATCATTTACCTGGGAAGTTTTGGATCACACGGAATCATCAGGATGGGAATATGAAAGGATGGGAATTAATCATCAGCATGGGAATGCTGCCATTATTTTGTGCGTAGAACCGTCATTGAGCAGACGGGAGTGACCCAGTTACTGTTTTCGTATATTGTCTGTTACTTTCAACCGAGTTAATATCAAGCAAGTCTACAACAAGAGGAGATTAATTCTGAGTGAATGGAGAATTGAGTATCTCAGAGTGTGTGGTAGCGTACATGTTAACGTTTCTGTGCAGTGGCTGGCACAGGGTGATGTTTTTATTATAAATGTGCTCGTATATGAAATACAGAGGCGTACTGTGCGCACGCACGCTCGCTCGTGACGCTCCGGAGTTGTTGTGCCCAACACGTCTCCTCCTTTTGTGCCACTCGCCGTTTCCTGCCCCCACCCCCCGACGCCGCTCAGGTCCAAACAAATCCTTGGTGGTGGGAGCCAAGCGAAGTTGCGCCAGCCCTTGCTCACGGACGGAGGAGCTCTCACGGAGGCCCGGGGGATCCCGGAAGATGTCCGCTTGAATCTGACCAGTACGCGTGGTGGGGGGGGGGAAGTGACATGTCGCCACGCTTGACGTCCAGAGTTGTCGATGCGCGTCTATATAGATGTGGTAGAATGAAAATACATGGGAAGCTTTTTTACGTGTTTTGTTCTGATTTTGTCTTGCAAAACAATCCACTTGTGCAAGCTCTAATTGATTTTGTTATGGCTAGTACGGTTACTATTGTAACCCCACCAAATCATGCATAGCTGCTTCACTCATAATTCTCAACCTAAATTTGATAAGAGGCTCTGACGATGCAGTATACCATCGATGATAATCGATGTAGAACATCGATGATAATCGATGTTCTACTGTTCTATTGTCGCCGCTGCTTTTGTCGGCTGCATTTCAGCTGGAAAGGAGAGGCGCTGTGCCGAATGCGAGCGCCAGAAAGCCATCCTGTTCTGCAAGCACTGCCAAGAGGACTTTTGCGACTCTTGCTTTAAGAAGGTAATCGCCGTGTAATTATGAAATGTGCTTTACCCGCTTAGGCTTTTGCGACCAATATCTGGAAAAAACAAAAAAAACCTATTATGGATCAAACGTACTGGGTGCAATCCATTGCACTTACGGCCTCGTTGCAATCTTCTTGGGTATAAATGCTCCAGAGTGAGTGTGCCTAACACCTCATTTGCACTATAAATCCCCCTCATACACATGTTTTGCATGTCAATTCCAAAAACCTGATATTTTCTCTCACTTCTAAAGAGCATCATACAAACTTTTAAAACAGACACCGGCCACTACTTGTATAACAATCAAAATGTTTTGATTTAAAGCTTTCGTGACTGCAGTAATTCATATTCTTAGTTTTTTCGGTAAAGTCACGTTGAAGAGAAACAACAAAATAACAAAATATATATAAAACAATAAAAAATTCTCACGACGTTTCGACCATAACTCAAACGGTCATCATCAGGTGTGTCGGTTTGCATAAATTTATTGTTAAAACGGCACATTTATTTATTTATAAAAAACGTTGGCGTCACGCGCAGCGATTGGCAGTTTGCCCAGGACTAGTCCATCTATTTTTTTTTGAAAAGAGGAGGGGGGAGACGAATTATTATTTTTTTTTATAATGTATGCTGTCTGAAAGCCACTGTAAGCATGAACAATCAATCAAGAACTGAAATGATTTATCAAATCTTTCCAATGATTGCTAAGATAGAATCCATCTTCTCGGTTGAAATTGTCTCTGTGCTTGTATATGTGGATAGCCTCATGAACGAATCTCTCATGGAAGCCAGATGGCTTACAAAGAACCTCCGTCTTGGAAAAGTCAATGGCATGTGAGCCTACTGAATTAGAACAATGATCTGCTACGGCCGAGGTGTTGGTCCTACCGTGTTTAAGGTCTGCTTTATGTTCACGAATGCGGTCCGAGACATGGCGTTTGGTTTCTCCAATGTAACTACTACCACAGAGGCAACTTAGTTTGTAGACACCAGGGTATTGTATGTCCGGAATCACATCTTTTACAGACGGAACCAGATCACGGATTTTATGTAATGTGTTGAAACGGACCTGGATCTTGTGTTTATTCAAGATTTTGGAGATCTTTTTTGTGATCCCAGCAATGTAGGGTAAAGTGATGGTTTTGAAAGGCTCCTCAAGAGGGTTCTTCTTCATGGTTTGAGTGATAGCTTTGCGGATTGTATAGTCGGAGTAACCATTAGCCCTAAGAGCTTGGTGTACGTGCTTGAGTTCACTGCTTATGTGTTCCTGGTCGGATATGCATTGGGCTCTATGATACAGAGTCTTGATGAGAGAATTCTTCTGTGATGGATGGTGGTGGGAATCCGGTTTCAGATAAGCATCCGTATGGTAGCTTTATATATATTTTGTTGTTTCTCTTCAACGTGACTTTACCGAAAAAACTAAGAATAATCAAAATGTTGTGAGGGCACACGTGACATCCCGATGGAATACGGTACAAGGCGTCATTCACTGTTTTTGTATTTGATTCAATTGTGGCAAACGTTGCACAAGGTTTAAAAATCGGACCACCTTTACAGACGAGAAACAGCCAAAGTTGGCTGTCGCCTGATGAGGCTGGTTGTAATTACTGGCGAAAACGTCACGGTTACTCGAATTATAAATGTCGTTAAACCCGCCACCACCACGCGACAGCCATTTAGTAAAGTTTGTCATGTAAACAAAACGTGCCAATTAGTTACTAGTTCAGCACACCGGTGTGTTGGAGAGTAAACCTGCAACATTTACAATTCGAGTACCGTGACGTTTCACCGGTAATTACAACAACCAGCCTCATCAGGCGGGTTTATCGAAACGTTTGTATTTACTCAATCTAAGCCTAAAATAACCTCAAAGATAATATTGGTTGTCAAAGCCTCCTAGGATGTTAAACTTGTGGCAGCATATTTAGATGCTGTACAAGTTAAAAGTGTGTTGTCTATGTAGGTGTCTGTCCTAAGCAGTTTGTTCTTAAAGTGATTTGCTCCCGCTTGGTAAATTTCCGAAGTCTACGTTGTCAACCAGAATGTCTCTGCTCGCTAATTCTGACTGATTTCCATTCGCTTCCCAAGTAGCTCTCGCCAGGGTGGGGAGGAAATGTAAACTACCTCTCCTGGAATACAGAAGGTTGTTGGTTCGTTTGCATGTTCTCCCTGTGGTCGCATAGATTTTTCTCCGGGTCTTTCGGTTTTTCCCTCCATCAACCTCACATGTCTACAGTATTTGGCTGCTGCTATACATTTTCACATGATAAGCCATTTCATTCCACTATCATTTGTGATAGCCAGGTCGCTTCTGAAAAAGAGCTACGTAGCCCTCATCATCCTTGCTTTTGTCGCTTCTCAACTTGATCACTGCAGCTCTCTCACCGTTTCCGTGAACAAGAACACATCGTCGCAAGACGCAAAACTATCCGTGGACTCTCGTCACCGTGGCCTCTGCTTTAGCCGCAGGAGGCTCACTTCACAGAAGCAACTGCACGCGACTGCCAAGCTCACGCATAAGTCTGAGGTTGCATGAAGTTAAATTATTTGATAACAATTTAATAAAACTGGGAATGAGTAAGGTTTAATTGGCGGTGAATGTTTTGTAGGAATTCAGTCACGATGTGTACCTGCATGTATATGGTGTATGTGTTTGTGTGTTATTGTTTACCTGCATGTATGTAGTGTTTGTGTGTTACTGTGTACCTGTGTTGTGTGGAGCATCCGTGTAAGCGGTTAGCGCGCTGCACTACGTACCCGGCAACTTGAGTTCGATTTCTACTCACGGTCACCACCAGTGACGATTATCTGAACCGGTCCTGGGCCTCCCCTAGGTCTACTCAGCCTCAAATGAGTACCCAAGTACGGTGTGTAAACATCACCACTCGGGAGACAAAGGTGGTCGGGCATAGTGTTGGCCGTGCTGGCTTTCATAGGCGCTTACTATAATAGCAGTTGCCCAAACAGTCTGTTGAGGCTACACGGGGGAACTTTGCCTTTGTTACTGTGTACCTGTATTAGGGACTGATTTTGTTGGGAAGGCAAGTCCTTCAGATTGGGTGGCTACTTTTGTTTACCTGTGTAGCCTGTGTGTGACACTTGTGTACCTGCATAGAGAGTGATGATGTTGTGAAGGCTGGCCTGATATTCTAGTATTGGGTTTGTGTATATGCGTGTGATGCGTTTCAGGTTCACGGAAATGCGAAAGTGCTGAAAAACCACAAAGTGAACAAAATTGATCCCAGTGATTGGTAAGTGGTGGCTAGGAGATGTTAACTACCTCGCCTGATATACAGGAGGTTGTGGGTTCGATCCTGACGCCTTCATTTCTGGAGTTTGCATGTTCTTCTCTTGGTCACGTGGATTTTTCTCCGGGTCTTCAGTTTTTTCCCTCCACATTTAGAATCAACGTCACATTTAGAGTCTAAAAGAGCTGCCCAGTGGGCCTTACCTGGTAAAATAAAATAAAAAATATTTTAAATTGCTGCAACTAAAATGTTTTGCAGTGATTGATGCCCTGATACTTCACAACAGTCCTCATGTTGCCACATTCCCATAAAAGTGAAATTGCGGGCTGTAGGGTTCCCTACCCCTTGCCTTGAACGCTATAACCTTAACCCCTTAAATGAACCGTGCACCTGAGATTTTAATAAAAAATAATAACGCATGGATTTTTTCCTTCAGCACAAATTTTAACAAAAACTGTACATTGTTATTCTTGTAAATGTTCAATACAAGTCATGTGCTTAACCGAACAGATATGTGCTCTGGCTAATCAGAAATCTACGTGATCGCCGCTATAGTACAGTAGTTGCAGATCTTTACAACATTGGGTGGAGTTTGATTGATGTTGATTGGCAAGGCCCTGCTGCTGTCCACTTAGTGGGCCGAGTCATCTGTGCGGGAGCAGGAAAGTGTTATCACTGAGCACGCGCATCATTGATCGGTTTATCGTTAGTATTAATTCTAAATGTAAACGGTAACAATCAAAATCGTCAGTTGTGGTTCTTTTGAGTGATTTATCCCATCATTTAATGAGTTTTAATATAATTAATACCTTAATCAGTGGTTTTTGGCATAGAGATCCGTGGAAAATAGATTTCTTTGGGATTATCCGCAATTTTTTTATTATCTGCAGGCGTCTTCCCCGTCATTATCACGGATAATCGAGAGCCTACTATCGTCATGTAATATAGGGGCTGGGCAGTGGCACGTTGGACACTTTTACAAAGTGTTTCATACGGGGCCATCCATGCGTCCGTACTAAATGGATGGCTCCTAGAAAGGTTTCTGGCTTTGAAGTCCACTCTTGGGTTATGGGTGCTCTTGACTCCACCAGTGCCCTGGGTGTTATCCGATTGCAGCGGTCGCACCCATGAAGCATTTGAAACTAACGATTGAAACCATTTATTTATTTATTTTAAGGCCCCACTGAGCGAAACGTTATTTTTCAGAAGCGTTTTTAGATTATTAATTTGGGCGTAAGGGAAAATGTGCACATTATTAATTTATGTCAAAATCTCAAGCGTGCGCGGTTAATCCACAAATTGGGTCAACTGCACGCGGTAATCAAGAATCCACTGTACTTCTTGGAGCACGTCAGCCATGGTCGCGACGTGCTCGACACTTTTAGCTGCCCCCTTCAAAAGAGACAAGGCCGTGTTTTTCATGTTCAACGTGACATTTTTACCAATTATAGTTTTTAAAAGCTGGGTAAAGAAAAATTGGAACAGAAGATTTTGTGATTGCCAGCTCATTGCTCTGGCTTGTCCCTTCGTCTCCGCTTCCTGGCTATGTGCCGGTGGGAACGTGACCTGTTCGTGATCTGTGCGTCGATGCACATGCTTGTTATCTATGACTGTTTATATTTCTGGCAGCCAAAAAAACCCCAAAAACAATGACGGATTATTTATTTGCAAATAACCGCATGAAATAAAGTGTTTTAGTGCAGCATTTAAATGTTGACAGTGTTGATCGATTTTTGACGAGGCCCTTTCCACAGCGAGAATTGTGAAGTGCATGGTAAGCTGTACGCCTACTGCTGCGAGCTTGGTGGTGGTGGTGGCGGTGGCAGCGGCGTCGCGTGCGCTGATTGCATCGCGGACTCTGAGCACAGCGACCACGACCATACTCTGCTCGATGCCAAGGTGAACCACCACCAATGTTCGCCTGCGGGTGAGACGTCGATCGCGAGGTCAAATGAAGTGCACCACGTGGATGTAATGTCGCTCATCTGGTGCTTTTGTTCATTTTAGCCATATTGACATTAAAATGTGAAAAAAAACGTACAAATGTGGGCAACACATTAAATTAGAAATTAAAATTCTAGATTTGAAGCTTTCGTGACTGCAAGGATCCATACTCTTTGGTTCTATTCGGTAAAGTCACGTAGGTAAAAAATAAAACAACAAAAATCACGACGTTTCGGCCACAACACAAGTGGCCTTCATCAGGTGAAGGGACCGTGCTGTCACGAGGACAGCGTTGGAGTGAAGACAGTCCAGCCCAGGTCGCGTCCTTTTAAGCTGTGTGGGAGGAAACAAAACGCTTTGACAAAGGAATTAGCATAAAATGACCGTAAAGCACAAGAGGACCGGCACGGAGGGGGGGAGGGGGGTGTGAAGTGGAACGTAGAGGACCGGCACGGGGGGGGGGGGGGAGTTTACAAATGTAGGTGTGAAGTGAAATAAGCTTCTATGAAAGTTTGGTATATCACTACTTGGATAAATATACTGTACCATTGAAAATTAGTTTAATGTTTGGTATGATTTAGAACATCTTTCCAATGGTTGCTTAATTTGAAACCATCTTCTCGGTTGAAATTGTGTCTGTTTGTAAATCTGAATTGCCTCGTGGATAAATCTCTGATGAAAACCCATGGGTTTACAAAGGACCTTGGTATCGGAGAAAACTGTATTGTGATCACCAACAGCGTTGTAACAGTGGTCAGCTACGGCAGAAGAATTCATTCTGCCGTGTTTCAAATCTGATTTGTGCTCGCGAATTCGGTCAGAGACATGTCGTTTCGTCTCCCCGATATAGCAATCACCACACGTGCAGCTGATTCACTATCAGTCAAATGCAAAGCTAACCTGATTTCTAAATTCAAACACCTATCAAAGGAGAACCCAGTCCCACATATAACAAAACTAGACGTTAACAAAATCGTCATTAATCAGAGTAGCACCCCGATTTCGGACAATCTGAAAACAGTACTAGCTAGAGGGCTAAATTTTGCTGTCACCCCAAAACATATACCTGTAGATGATATCATCTCTCAAGTCGATGTAGCCCTCAAAGGCGTAGGACACATCCAAGCAGACGTTGCGAGAGCTGAAATAGCCACTATTAAGAATGCTAAGAAACCCATTAGCAACATCAGCAAAAATGAACGCTCTGAACTCGCGAATTTAAAAAACAGAAATGATATAGTCATCCTCTCAGCCGACAAAGGCAACGCTACTGTAATTATGGATAAAGATTCATACAACAACAAAATCCAGAACCTTCTCAACGATAGAAGTTACTCAAAAATAAAAAAATGACTCTACTAATAGCCTAACGATAAAAACCAACAATTTTTCGATTTAAAGCTTTCGTGACTGCAATGATTCATCTTCTTTGGTTCTTTCGGTAAAGTCACGTAGAATGAGAATAAAATAATAAATTGATAAAATAAAATAACACAATAATATTCTCACGACGTTTCGGCCACAACACAAGCGGCCTTCATCAGGTGAAGGGACGAGACTGTCTGGTAGGACAGCGCTGGAGTGAAAGAGCCACGTTCAGATCACGGCCTTTAAGCTGTGTGAGAGGAACAAAGCGCCTTGACAAAGGAATTAGCATATAATTTAGCATTGAAATGGTTGAATGATTAGCTTGTGACTGGTCACAGAAATAGTTATGTTAAAAGTTAAAGCATACACATCCGCAGAGGCACCCCTTGACAATGGAATTAGCATAGAATTTAGCATTGAAATAGCTAAGTTAAAGCATACACATCCGCAGAGGCACCCCTTGACAATGGAATTAGCATAGAATTTAGCATTGAAATAGCTGAGTGATTAGCTTGTAACTGCTCACAGAAATAGCTACGTTAAAGTCAGACCATACACATTCACCGAGGCACTTAGTACAAATCAAACAGGAGAATTTAGCATTAAATAACTAGGCGAATTTAGCATTGAAATAACTGAGTGATTAGCTAGTGACTGGTCACAGAAATGACTATGTTGAAGTCAAGGCCTACACATCTGAGTTATTCACAGTACTATATAGTGAACCAATAAAAAACTAAAATATGAATTACCTTAATGTTATCAATAAACTCTATATTCTCCAATCAGCTAAGCTACCAACAATAAGTCGTTATATATCACAATGCTATATGGCGAAAAAATGGGTGGATTCTTACCCTCAACTTTAGCACCACGGATAGCTACGGGCCCCGTTCAGACGGACGAGTTCGTCCATGGTCGGAACAGAGGAGGGGGAGAGAGACAGCTGCGAGGCCCTAGTATACTCCATGTTGTAAAACCATACCATTAACCGTGGTGTGAGAGGTATTAAGAGGCAATGCTGGCGAAAGAGCTGCGGTCTGAAGGTCATCGTAAAAATACAATTAATTAAGAACAGAAATGATTTAAAACATCTTTCCAGTGGTTACTAAGCCAGAATCCATCTTCTTGGTTGAAATTGTCTCTGTGCTTGTATATGTGAATGGCCTCGTGAACGAATCTCTCATGGTAGCCGGTTGGTTTGCAAAGAACCTCCGTCTTGGAGAAGTCCATGTCATGTGAGCCCACTGAATTATAACAGTGATCTGCCACGGCAGAGGAGTTCGTCGTACCGTGTTTCATGTCTGCTTGTTGTTCGCGGATGCGGTCCGAGATATGTCTTTTGGTTTCTCCAATGTAGCTACTACCACAGAGGCACTTTAGTTTGTAAATGCCCGGGTACTGTATGTCTGGAACAGCATCTTTTACAGATGGAACTAAATCACGGATTTTATGTACTGTGTTGAATCGGACCTGGATCTTGTGTTTATTCAGGATTTTGGAGATCTTTTTAGTGACCCCTGCAATGTAGGGTAAGGTGATGGTTTTGAGTGGCTCCACAAGAGGATCCTTCTTCATGACTGGAGTGATGGCTTTGTGGATTGTGTAGTCGGAGTAGCCATTAGCCCTGAGAGCCTGGTGTACGTGCTTGAGTTCACTGGTAATGTGTTCCTGGTCGGAAATGCATTGGGCTCTATGGTATAGAGTCTTGATGAGGGAGTTCTTCTGGGATGGATGGTGGTGGGAATCCGGTTTCAAGTAAGCATCTGTATGGGTAGCTTTCCTGTAGACAGAGTGGCTCATTGAACCATCATGTCTCCTTTTAATTAAGACATCCAAAAAGGGTAGTTTGCCATCTTTTTCGACCTCCATGGTAAATCTGATGGCTGGGTGTATGGAATTGATGTGGTCGCGGAATTGGTCTAGAGCAGGCTGGCCATGTGGCCAGATGACAAAGGTGTCATCAGCGTACCTCTTCCATAAGGTCGGGCGTAGAGTGGCAGTCTGGATGGCGTCAGTTTCCAATTTTTCCATGAATACGTTGGCTACAACCGGAGATAGGGGGGAGCCCATTGGGGTGCCCTCTGTTTGTAGAAAGTTCCATTCCAGGTGAAGTATGTGTTGGTTAAGCAATGTCTCACCAGGGAACTCAAGCACGTACACCAGGCTCTCAGGGCTAATGGCTACTCCGACTACACAATCCGCAAAGCCATCACTCCAGTCATGAAGAAGGATCCTCTTGTGGAGCCACTCAAAACCATCACCTTACCCTACATTGCAGGGGTCACTAAAAAGATCTCCAAAATCCTGAATAAACACAAGATCCAGGTCCGATTCAACACAGTACATAAAATCCGTGATTTAGTTCCATCTGTAAAAGATGCTGTTCCAGACATACAGTACCCGGGCGTTTACAAACTAAAGTGCCTCTGTGGTAGTAGCTACATTGGAGAAACCAAAAGACATATCTCGGACCGCATCCGCGAACATAAAGCAGACTTGAAACACGGTAGGACGAACTCCTCTGCCGTGGCAGATCACTGTTATAATTCAGTGGGCTCACATGACATGGACTTCTCCAAGACGGAGGTTCTTTGCAAACCAACCGGCTACCATGAGAGATTCGTTCATGAGGCCATTCACATATACAAGCACAGAGACAATTTCAACCGAGAAGATGGATTCTGGCTTAGTAACCACTGGAAAGATGTTTTAAATCATTTCTGTTCTTAATTAATTGTATTTTTACGATGACCTTCAGACCGCAGCTCTTTCGCCAGCATTGCCTCTTAATACCTCTCACACCACGGTTAATGGTATGGTTTTACAACATGGAGTATACTAGGGCCTCGCAGCTGTCTCTCTCTCCCTCCTCTGTTCCGACCATGGACGAACTCGTCCGTCTGAACGGGGCCCGTAGCTATCCGTGGTGCTAAAGTTGAGGGTAAGAATCCACCCATTTTTTCGCCATATAGCATTGTGATATATAACGACTTATTGTTGGTAGCTTAGCTGATTGGAGAATATAGAGTTTATTGATAACATTAAGGTAATTTATATTTTAGTTTTTATTGGTTCACTATATAGTACTGTGAATAGCTCAGATGTGTAGGCCTTGACGTCAACATAGTCATTTCTGTGACCAATCACTAGCTAATCACTCAGTTATTTCAATGCTAAATTCGCCTAGCTATTTCAATGCTAAATTCTCCTGTTTGATTTGTACTAAGTGCCTCGGTGAATGTGTATGGTCTGACTTTAACGTAGCTATTTCTGTGAGCAGTTACAAGCTAATCACTCAGCTATTTCAATGCTAAATTCTATGCTAATTCCATTATCAAGGGGTGCCTCTGCGGATGTGTATGCTTTAATTTTTAACATAACTATTTCTGTGACCAGTCACAAGCTAATCATTCATCCATTTCAATGCTAAATTATATGCTAATTCCTTTGTCAATGCGCTTTGTTCCTCTCACACAGCTTAAAGGCCGTGATCTGAACGTGGCTCTTTCACTCCAGCGCTGTCCTACCAGACAGTCTCGTCCCTTCACCTGATGAAGGCCGCTTGTGTTGTGGCCGAAACGTCATGAGAATATTATTGTGTTATTTTATTTTATCAATTTATTATTTTATTCTCATTCTACGTGACTTTACCGAAAGAACCAAATAAGAAAAACCAACAAGATCATCACAAGTTCGACCTCCCTAATCGAACCAACTAAACTTCCCTCCCTGAAACCTGCTGCAAGACCCTTTAGATTATATGGTCTCCCCACGATTCATAAAGAAGGTACCCCACTACGACCCATCGTATCCACGATCAACTCCCCTACCTATAAGCTAGCACGTTTTCTGTCAGATACCTTGCTACCTTTCACTGGCAAGACCTCCTCAGCAGTACTTAACTCAGCCCAATTGGTCTCTATGGTCAAAGACGTTGTACTGTCCCCTGACGATATTCTTGTCAACTTCGATGTGGTCTCTCTGTTCACCAAGGTCCCAGTACCTGATACCATTGAAATAATTGAAAATTTGGTACAACATGGACTAGACCCCGATACACCTGCACTGGTTAGGCACTGCCTCACCAATACCTACTTTACTTGGAAAGGCACCTTCTACAAACAAAATGAGGGTACCCCCATGGGTTCTCCCTTGTCACCAGTGATAGCCAATGTTTTCATGGAGAAATTTGAATCAGACGCCATCCAGACTTCCACCCTCAGACCTTCCCTGTGGAAGAGATATGTAGACGACACTTTCGTCATTTGGCCACATGGCCTCCCAGCTTTAAACCTTTTCCTACGCCACATCACTTCCAGACATCCCGCCATCAAATTCACCATGGAAGTGGAGAAAGATGGCAAGCTGCCATTCTTGGATGTTTTGTTTGAGAGGAGACCTGATGGCTCATTGGGAAATTCTGTCTACAGGAAACCCACCCACATAGATTCCTACTTGAAACCTGATTCCCACCACCACCCAACTCAAAATAATTCTCTCATCAAAACGTTATACCACAGGGCTCATTGCATTTCGGACCAACACCACCTGACCAGTGAATTAAAACATGTACACCTGGCCCTCAAGAGAAACGGATACTCTGACCGTACCATCCGCCAAGCTGTTTCTCCCTCCATACAGAAACAACCACTTGATACTCCGATCAAAACCATCACACTACCATATATAACAGGCGTTACTAAAAAGATCTTCAAAATTCTAAACAAACAAGATCCTGGTCCGGTTCAATACAGTACACAAAATTCGTGATCTGATCCCCTCCGTGAAGGATGTCATTCCTGACTTACAGTACCCCGGGGTTTACAAATTGAGCTGCACCTGTGGCGACTGCTATATCGCGGAGACGAAACGACATGTCTCTGACCGAATTCGCGAGCACAAATCAGATTTGAAACATGGCAGAACGAATTATTCTGCCGTAGCTGACCACTGTTACAACGCTGTTGGTGATCACGATATAGTTTTCTCCGATACCAAGGTCCTTTGTAAACCCACAGGTTTTCATCAGAGATTTATCTACGAGGCAATTTAGATCTACAAACACAGACACAATTTCAACCGAGAAGATGGTTTCAAATTAAGCAACCATTGGAAAGATGTTCTAAATCATGCCAAACATTAAACTAATTTTCAATGGTACAGTATATTTATCCAAATAGTGATGTACCAAACTTTCATAGAAGCTTATTTCACTTCACACCTACATTTGTAAACTCCCCTGCCCCCCCACCGTGCCGGTCCTCTACGTTCCACTTCACACCCCCTCCCCCCCTCTGTGCCGGTCCTCTTGTGCTTTACGGTCATTTTATGCTAATTCCTTTGTCAAAGCGTTTTGTTTCCTCCCACACAGCTTAAAGGACGCGACCTGGGCTTGACTCTTTTCACTCCAATGCTGTCCTCCTGACAGCACGGTCCCTTCACCTGATGAAGGCCACTTGTGTTGTGGCCGAAACGTCGTGATTTTTGTTTTATTTTTTTACCTACGTGACTTTTCCGAATAGAACCAAAGAGTATAGAAATAAAAAGCCCGCATTATCATAATCTAAATTGTACTAAAGTATAACACGTAGGCTTTTGCCACCAATATTATCCATAATAACTTATTGGCTGTATTGGGTGGTGACAGGTTAAACGATGTCTTTTTATTTGCGTGATCTAACCCAAAAAACCCTCTCATGTAATAAAGTACACGGATTAACCTGAGTGCAATCTTTGATCGCAACATTCCTGAAAGCGCGTTTCTCACACCTTGAGCCACGCTTCCATTGACGATCATGTCATTGCTGCCCATTGCAGAAGGAAGAGCTGAGCATGCAGCTTCCCAAGGCCATTGTGGTGGGCCAGGCGAGGGTCTTAAAACTGAAGGAGGCGCTGCGAGTGAGTGGTCGCTGGCTGCAGCGATGCTGTATCGTTGTCGTCATTGTCGTTATCATTGTCGTCACCGTTGTCACCGTTGTCGTCATCGTCCTCATCGTTGTCATCATTGTCGTTGTCGCCGTCAAAGTTGTCGTCAACGTTCTCAACAACCATGATCTATCCACAGCTGGTTTACTGCACAGCAGTCGTTTTTAAGATGGAATACTCTGCTTGTGTTTTTTTAAGTGAAAAACTACCTTTGGCTGGCCACGACTAATCAGAACACTCGAGATCTATATCTAAACGTTTGCACGAACCCATTATAAAGTAACAGAGCATTTTAACAATTTTATGCAACAACGATCTCATTTTGTGCGGATTTAATGGCGTAGATGATTAAAGTGCGGAAACGGGTTTTAATCGATGTGTGGGAATAGGCTGAATTTGTACGCCTTTTAGTGTGGTGCATTGTCAGGCACTGCTATCATGGCTTTTATCCAGACGTTCATCGTCCTGGTGTATCATCCGAGCTGAAGGGTGTCTTTGGCTATGAAAGTGGCAGGTGTAATTGTAGCTTCCCCGACAGGAGTTTGAGAAGCTGCAGTCTGAGCTGCAGCCGCAGCTTCACACGGTGGTGTGCAGCATACATGAGAGCATCCACTCGCTGTGCTCCATGGTGCAGGCCCGGTGAGTTCCACATTCCACATGCACACGTGTACACTCCGTGTCATCGCATTAATGCACAAACATAAAAATAAAACATTCTAAACTTTACTCCAGTGACCCGGGTGCTACTGCGGGGTCCACGTTCTGCTCTGCTTCCTTCCCCCCCCCGCCCCTTCTCTCTCCCCCCTGCTAGCCGACCTCTTCAGTGCTGCTGCGGTGGCCCACTTTACTCCAGTGACCCGGGTGCTGCTGCGGGGTCCACTTTCTGCCCCTCCTCCTCCTCCCCCCCCTTCTCTCTCCACCCCTACTGCCGAGGTCTATATAACCTCGTGCCACGGCAGATCTTGCCTACTTCAGTTTTCTCTTGCTGTGGTTGTCCCACCTGATGACGATTGCTTGTGTTGCGATCGAAACGTCGTGATCTATTATTTTTCTACCGACGTGACTTTACCGAAAGAACCAAAGAGTAATGACAATAAAACAAGCGTATGCCACCTTTAGTTACGTGATGCAAATCAATTGCATTTCACTATTTACTTATTATGTAAGACTTACGTTTTCAAACCCAATATTTAAATCGTAGTCATCCGTAGGCAGAGTTAAAATAAACCTACCATTACAATTATAGACTGATCATTTCCTTGCAGTGGGCAAACGTACAAAATCAGCAAGGGATCAAATACTTTTTTCCCTCACTGTATATCTCTCAAGCCCCTTTCCCGAAGGTTCCTTGAGCTTCCGCTTTCCCTCCAGCCAATTACCTTCCACTTTTCCTCACAGATTCCAACTGTCCACCCTGTCGATCATCCTCCGTTTCCTGCTCTATTCCAAGTTATATTTCACCTCCAAACCTCCAATTCCCTGCTTCTAATCACTCCCCTTTCAGGCCCTTTAAGCACCAATCGTAGGGGCTTGTTTTACCTACTCTTTGGTTCTTTTCGGTAAAGTCACGTAGGTAAAAAATAAAACAACAAAAATCACGACGTTTCGGCCACACACAACACAAGTATGGATCCTTGCAGTCACGAAAGCTTCAAATCTAGCTCGTTTTACTTCCTGATTGTTTGTGTCATGCACGCCGTGTCTATAACGTCGGGGTGAGTTTTTTCGGTTGTGGCTGGATCACTACGCTCGTAAGAACGGTCAACAGCACGGATGATGCCAGCGATGGTTCCCCGCCAGTAGCGATGCTGTGACTCCAGGCCGAGGGGGCCCCACGCCGCTGGGCCCTGATCCCGGGAGACGCACACTGACGGTCTCGCCGAGTGAACGAGATGCGCGCACGAGGAGCGACAACGATAAGTTGGCACGTCAGGGGTTGTGCTTCCACTAAAGCAGTTCTCGCTGGAGTAGAACGGGCGTCGGGAGATGGCGGCAATGAGATCCACTCCACAATCACGTTCACGCATCGCTGGAGACTGGGAATGCAAAGTTGCATTGCGCACACGCGCTCCTGAGTTGAAGCGTTCCGCTTACCCAGCTGGCATGCGTGCCAAGTCTCTGCTGCTACCAATAAGGGTACCTGGAATAAATTTTGACTTAAAGCTTTCATGACTGTAGGAATTCATATTATGTGTCTTTCGGAAAAGCCACATAGAAAAATAAAAAAAAACGTTTCGATTGCAACACAAGCAATTGTCATTGGGTGAAAAAATATAGCGGGAGTGTTATATTTTTTCACCTGATAACCATTGCTTGTGTTGCGATCGAAACGTCGTGGTTTTTTTACCGAAAGACCCAAGAATATTGGAATAAATTAGTCTTCTTTCTGTGCTGCGTGAGTGTGTGCACCACCTCGTGTCATCGCATGTTTTAGCCGCGTGTTCACTCGAACGCAATTATGCGGAGGCAGTGTTCTTGGCTGCAGCGCTGGCCATAACCATGACTTGCCAATTGCTTTTCTTTGTCTTTTGCAGGGGTGCAGAGCTGGTTTTTAAACTGAAGGACATGGAGGTTTGGCTCAACCCCATACTGACGAGAGGAACGAGCGTTCTTCACGAGTCACTCTTGTCGAACTGCGTCACCCTCGACACTGCCTGCAGAATGGCTCGGGGCCAGCAGTTCTGTACGCGGGACGTGCAAAAGGCACGGACGTATTCATTTTCTGTGCGCATTCGGTTGCAATAAACATGTCTGTGCCGGCCGCTACGATGGTGAATAACCGGAAGTTTGCGTCTTCACCGTGATTTGTATCGTGTCAACGTGTTCCGTGCAGGTGGTAGACCAGCTCCTGACGATGGACGTGCCAGAGCTGTGCTCCGTATTGCTCGAGGACTCGCTGGACCTGCAGTGAGTACAGCTTTTGAGACGCGGCTGCTCGCAATGCGACCGTTGAGTGTGCGAGGACGCCTGCGAATTATACCTTCACGCACGAGCAGCTTCCGAGGTCAAGAGGTCATAGTCAATGTTACTGACACCACAGTAACCTCACCTGTGTTTCCTGTTGCTGGCTCCTCTGTCTTTTGTTCCCGTGTCAACACCTCACCTCGCTGCGTTTTTTAGTCTGATCACCAACACCTCTGGGTGTTGCTCCGTGCCCTGTCTAGGTCACTGCTTGCCCCCCTACCCCTATCCAGCACACTTTGCTGTGCCTATAGCTCAGATACATAATATTCCCAATTTCCAAGTTTTTTTAAGTCTTGTCACATTTCTATAATTCTCTTCATACACCTTCATGCCAGTATCAGAATTTTTTTTCTTCTATAATTGTGTAATGAGAGCGCCATCGCCTGGATCATCAGGGGGCCATACAATTACCTTAGCACAGGCTTATCGATAGTGGGGTTTCTACCTAGGTGAAAGGTGAGAGGCGGGTCCACCAGGGAAGCCTCTGGGACATTCGGGAAGGTTTCAGGAGGGGCGTGGCGAGAGGCGGGGCTGAGCCCCGGGGAGGGGGATATAAGCGGGACCCCGAGCAATGCGAGGGGTCGGTATCCGAATTCTGAAGAGGAGCCCCGTCGCTGCCCCGCCATCTCCATCGACCACGTGGCGGCTCGTCCTTCAGCCGCTCAGTCGCTCCCTGGCGCACCGTCAGCCAGCGGTGTGTCAGAGTGGTGAGCGCCACGTGGCGCGGGGCAGCGTAGCCACCCGAAGGTGGAGTCCGTAATAAGGAGACGGAGACTGTGGCTGTACCAAGCTTTATTTGAAATAAACATACAAAGTTCCTCACGTGTCAAAGACCACTCATTACAATTGCTTTAATGAGGCACCTATTTGGTTGTGTTACCTCACGCATGATTCAAAGCTACGGTGAACATTTGATTCCTCACTCAAAGCATTTCTCCAGAGTCCACGCTTCTGCCTGCCTCCCTCTCTCCTGCTCGTAGTGAGGGGAGATATCGGCGTTGTGGCCACCCCCGTATCAGGGGGGATATTGATGTTGTGCCCAGCCCCCGTTTAAAGGGGAGATATTGGTGTTGTGTCCAGCCCCGTATAAAGGGGGATATTGGTGTTCTGCCTACCCCCCTAACAGGGGGGATATTGGCGTTATGCCCAGCCCCATATCAAGTGGGATATTGGTGTTGTGCCTAGCACCGTGGCAAGCGGGGGGATATTGGTGTTGTGCCTAGCCCTGTGGCAAGGGGGGATATTGGCATTATGCCCAGCCCCGTATCAAGGGGGATATTGGTGTTGTATCCAGCCCCGTTGCGACCGCTCCCCACTCCACGCTGCGTCCGTATCGGCGGTGGGCAACCTGCAGCCCGTTGAGCCTGGGTTTTGTTGAAGTGCTGCGTTGAATGGGTCCCATGATTTTAACGGCTGGCTCTCCACTCTCACCACACGGCCTTTCAGGACCACGTTGTGCCGATGAGGCTCGGTCTAAACCCATCCAGAGCTCGACCTCCTGATTAAACAAACGCCTCAGGAAAGTGGTGGGTCCAGTAGGCGCCATCGGCTGATGGACCAAATGTTAACCATCACGTGTTGAAATGCATCCTTGTCCTGATTATTAAAAAAAAGAATTTGATGCTACTTTAAGTAATACCGTTTAATAATACATGATAGCATGGATTAAAAAAAAACATTTTATGATCCAAGTGTCCAGCGGTGGTGTTTATGAGCAGTGTACAGATGTGGAATGGGGAGTTAATTCCGTGTGCTCATGCGCAGGTGTGACCTGGACGCGACGCAGCTGTTCGGCCACATTAAGGAACTCGGCACGATTTTGTTCCCCACAAGGTAATCCTGCTTCTTCGAACACGGTTTTTCAAACTATTGTTACATCAGTCATTGTTATATTTTTTGTCTCTTTTTCACCATCCCTTTGTTTAATGCTGCAGGCGTTGACGTCACGCGACGTTGACTTGCGTCTGGGAACTTGCGCGGAAAGCAGCAGCGCATCATACCCGTGTTGGAGAGAACAGCCCCTCTTGAAAGATGTCTGAACACTTTCTGTTATATTCCATCATGCACCATGGGTCCCACACCAGGCGGTGCTGCTGCCCCTCTTCTCATGCCCTGCCATGGAGGAATTTGCCGGATACCCCTCAAATTCACCGTTTCCGCCTCGCGTTACCTAAACGTACGCTAATGCGGTGGGTAACTTGTCTTCCCCCCTTTGTTGCCAGGCTCCTGGAGTATGGCAAAAGCATGAGTGCGGCTGCTGGGTCAGACCGGTCTCCAGTAGGGGCCATGCCCCTTTCGCCGATGCAACAGCAGCAGCAGCAGCAGGCTCACGGCAGCCGTGCCACAACCAGAGGCCACGCAGAAAAGGGACCAATCGGGCCTGACCTAAAGCTCACCCTGAACCTGCAGGTAAGTTAGCAAACACTATGGAGGGGTAGTGATGCTCTCTGATACTGGGCGGTGAACAGTTCGATTTAAAACCAATTCCTGCACTCATGCACCTTTGTAGTCTTGTTAGTGCGTCATTTATGGAGGTTATGTGTTCCTGTATACATGAATAATGCAATTGTCACTTTGGCTTTTGAAGTAAACATAGGAAGAAACGAGATGGAACATGTGGGGCAGACAATATGAATGAGATCATCTGAATGAGATGTAAAATAATGCATTTATGATTTACAAAAGATCTGCACATGCCAATTTCGCAAAGCAAACATCAAGAAAAAGATAAAAACAAGAAATGCAAACGACAAGTTGTTTTGCACGTGCAATTATACCTGTTATTGGTTCCATGGGGGTCACATGGTCATCGTGGAATTGTGAAATCCAGCACGGCTGAATTGTCAACACATCTGCATTGAGATAATTTAGACAATTTTGGTGCTTTAAATGTCCAAATGACAGGCCACTTTGTTGAGCTATCAGTTGTGGCCAGGTCGCTTCTGAAAAATAAGTTAATACCTCTGGAATTTTCTTGCTTAAATTTGGGGGCTTTAATTTTTATGTGTTTGGGTGATTTGTTTACCTTGTACTTTGCACTACTAGCATCTGTTTTGTTGTAACATTTTTACCCTGTGCTCCTACTGGACATCTGTGAAAAAGAGCTTTATAGCTCATCGGATTCCTCCTACAGTAGAAAAAAATATTTTGATTCTGTTATTAAAGAGTACTAGGTCGCTTATGTTCTTGTGCATGGCAATGTGTTGAAGACCTAAATGCCAACACCGTCTGCTGACCACGAGAGGCCTCCAGGAGAGAGCTGGTGCAGCTCTGCTATTCCTTCCCCCCCCGCCCCGTTGAAAGAGCGCAGTCGATAGCGTTTTTTTACGATGTGATCCGTAGCTGTGGGTTTTGCCTCGGCCTTGTCGGTGTTCAGATGAACGAGTTCCTGCCGGTTTTGTTGTGCAGGGTCCGAAGCACGCGGACCCCCCCACAGCGACGTGGTCCAAGAAGGGAGGAGCAGTGTCGGCTGCTGCAGCGCTATCGTCTGCATCGCTTGCCCGTTGCCTGTTCCCAGGCATATCTGGAGATGAGTCTGTCAGTCTGGCAGGTGAGCTCCCCCTCGCGCATCGGGGCACCGTGGTGGCGAGATGTTATCTCCTTCGCTTGGTGTGCAGGAGGTCGTTGTGGGTTCGGTCGTAACCCTGACGATGCCTGTTGTGTAATTGGCGTTTGCGTATCTCTCCCAGTGGCTGCGTGGATTTTTTCTCCCGGTCTTCCAGTTTTTCCCTCCACATTTCGTATCAACATCACTCTGCTGCTTTACATTTCCACGAGATCAGCCACTTCGTTGAACTATCATTTGTGGCCAGGTCACTTCTGAAAAAGAGCTATATTGCTCGGTGGGCTTTACCTGGTAAAGTAAAAATTGTATTTTCTTTCGTTTAGGAGGGGAAGCAGCCCCTCACTGGTAATTAATAATGTTATTCCAAATGCGTTACTGTGGCCATCTCGAACGCTCTTACTTCCGATATTATGAAGCCATTGGAACTATGCACTTTTCATTCTAAATTGAAAACTAATTTCTTTAGAACTGCTTTTTGTGTTTAGTTTATTGTCCTCTCTTTGTACCTCCAATTATCATGGTTCGCTACATACAGTTCCAAAGAAGTTCAACATAAACAATGAAACAAATAACAGGAGGTGGTCAGATGTTGAAACATCAAATAGGTACATTTTGCAAGGCATCAAGTCTGTACTAACCAAACGTATTTGTGGCAAAAATTCAAACAAACATGCTCTGAGAATAATATACGCATTGTCTTTGAAATTGATTGGACTACACCAGAGAGACACCCTTCTTTATGGTCTTGTCTCACCACCAGTGTTAGGCCAGAGAACGCCAAAAGGCAAACAGTACAAAGACAATGCAAGTTTCGGAGCACTTATAGCTCAGGTCGAGCAGTTATTTCTATGGGATACCTTTTTGCCAGTATAAAAAATGTTGAAAATAAAATGATAGGTTGTATACCCTTTGGCAATAAAGGTATCTATTTGAACATGTTAACACCTGTTTTATTGCCAGAAAGGGTACAAAACCTATTTTTTTTTCATTTTAAATACTGGTAAATAGATCCCATAGATAAGTTCAATATAAACACACATTACAGGGACTCCTCTACTTACCAACGAGTTAGGTTCCAGAGGTCTGTTCGTCAGTTGATTTGTTTGCAAGTCCAACTCCTATCAATTTCAAACATGTTGTACTGCATGTACACTAAATATGGGGAATGGCTTTAAAAGTTGTATTATCTACTGTAGATATAGATGCCACTGGTTCTTCACGTTCTGTAGGTTAAGATGCTACCACCGCCATCATTTGCGCGGCGGTTGAAATTACGACTCTTGGTCCAAACAGGCAACTGGACATGCGGGACAGGTTTGTTTGTATCTCTGAAAGTTTCTAAGTCGAATATCCGTAAGTCCATAACCTTTTGCCGCTGCAATAAGCTCCATCCACGAATGGTTCGGTACTATGCTTCAGCACCTCGTCTGTGAATTACCACGGAACAAGTAGGGGCAGCGAGAATTGTTCCGTTTGTGTTTAGAGCCAGCAGTGGCAATGCGATTGTTCTCGAGATCCGAACCCCTACTTGAGCGTGGTGAGTGATAGTGTCACACACAGTGAAGTGAAATCATGTCAATGTATTTATCTACAACCCCTTGAGGGTTTTCCAGATGTTGGCGCTTGGCTGTTTTTTTCTTTTCCCTCCCCTTGGGTAGGAATGATGACAGCTGGTGGGGAGCCGAGCTCCGTCCAAAGGTGCAAGATAGGGAACGCAAAATCGTCCCGTAATCGGCCCTCCTGGATTTCACAGGGTCAGGAACCACGCACTCACGTGACAGATTACAGCACGCTTGTGAAAACATTCTCGGGCGTAATTTGTTTTATAAATAATAAAATAAAGATGTCGCTCTCAAGTCACTTTCTGCATTGTCCTTATTATTTGAACATCATGAACACATTATCATGCTATTGTGTCAATGCTAAATTTTAATCCTCTTGACTTTGGTATAAGTTATGGGCCTAATTCATATACATTTTTTTGGCCTTCATTCAACGTACGTTACTAAATGCTGCAAACACCACAAGGACAAATCTCCTGTCCACTAGAGCAATGGCCCCAGTGGACGATCAGAAAAACTTCAGAAAAAGCGGCAGGCACTGTCCTGACACGACACCCGACAGAATAGGAGCGAGTGTCCAGTCCTCAACGTCGCCTAAGAGCATTTCACTGGCAATGCCTGGATAAATGGTGTATCCATGACAACTCAAGGTGAGGGGGGAGGTAGGTGACGAGGTTATCTGACCCTGCGTCTGCCTCTCTCCCTCTGTACCGGTGCTCGATGAGCTTCCTAAAGCCTTTGTGTCGTCTAATCACTTGGCTGTTATTGACTGCAGGAATGGGATAGCAGATTTGTATGACGGTGTCTGATGTAGTAATTATAGCTGTAAACATAGCAGCCCCAAGCATACCATGTGAACTATAATGCGTTTTGCAATTGCCATATATTCGCATCAAACTTATGCCTGTATATAAGAATATGCGGTGTGTAAGTGAAAATGCGCCAAACTTGGCAGCATAACACGTGCACCTGGTGCACGAAGTAAAGTGTATTTCTGTGTTGAATCGCATTCGTGTTGTTCATCGTTTATGTTGTGTTGTGCCGTGGGCTCATGTGCGCAGACGCGATGCATTCGGAGCAGGTAATGCTGACCCACGTGGTGAATCCCAGACACTTCTACGTGCAGTACTACGCCGCTCGCTACCGCAACGAGAAGCTCAACTTGGCGCTTTCCAAGTACTGCATGGCCCAGACTAAAAACTCTTCAGCCATACAAACCCTCAGCATCGGTAACACACGCACGCATGTACACGCACGCTCACACACGCAAGACAGTTGTGGCCCAAGCGGTTTTTGTTATTATTTATTTAGAACCATTGCAGGTCAAGTTTCAATATAGGTTTTAGAATTATGGAATGTGTGTGACGTCCAGGCTTGACCTTAGAGGGGGTGGTAGTTAATGCGTCTCCCCGAGCTGCGTGGCGTGAGAGGAGGGTGACTCCCCTGATCTTCGTGCGTCTCCAACTGGAATAACTTGCAGTGGGACGACTCCCTATAATCGTGTTGAGGGTTCTTTTTTTTCTTGGGCCATAAATAGTAGACTTGATTATCCGCGTGCGGTTTATCCGATTTGCGGATTTTGACAAATTAATAACTAATGATTATATCTAAAGCCCAAATTAATCATCTAAAAATAGTTAGACATTGTTATTCTCGGAAATGTTTATTACAAGTCACGTGCTTTAACCGAGCAAATATGTTGATCCAGGTTGATTCGAAATCCACATGATTGCTGCTACAGTAGAGTAGTTGCAAATATTTACAACAGTGGGTGGAGTTTGATTGATGATGATTGGCGTGGCTCTGCTGCTGTCTACTTGGTGGGCGAAGTCTTCTGCGCGGGAGCAGGAAAGTGTTATCACTGAGCACACGCATCGAACGGTCGATCGTTACTATTCTAAATCGAAAGAGTATCAATCAAAATTGTCAATTGTGATTCATTTTGAGTGATTTATCCCATCATTAATCTTTTGAGTTTTACTTGACGAAACTGTGCGATGGCAGAGAAACGTAAACATAATTTACACCTAAATTATTGTTTTTTTGGCATAAAGATCCGCAGACAATGGATATTTTTGTATTATTCACGATGTTTGAATTATCCGTGGCCGTCTTCCCCGTCATTAGCGCGGATAATCGAGAGTCTACTGTAGTTTTAATAACACGAACCTCCACGTTCTTGACCCCAAAGCCACGAATTTTGAAACCGAAAAGTGCGGAGTCACTATTTTTAAGCGGCGTCAAACTGCATTGAATCCACTCATAAATAGCACAGCAGGGTTATTATAGCGGCGTGGCAGTAATTAAGTATTACACTGAATTCTTGAACGTCAAAACAATCCAGGCAATACTCTTAGCCATGGTGAGCAATGGCAAAAGACTTTGACACCCGAGGGTCACAGTGAACGAGAATGTTGTGCGGCCGGATAATTTCTGAATCCGTGGTGCAAACAAGATGCCGTTGGACTAACCCTCAGGAATACAATGCCCCAGCTGTCGAATGAGTGGATAGGAAATGAATGTGCATGCAGTGGTGCGATTTACCATGGTGTCCGCTTTATCACGTTGCCTGAGATCTGACATCCGTAGAGCGAACGTGGCAAAACGCGTTCTCACCGCACGTCCCAAACCATCGAATTTTAACTTGAACGCTGCGAAGGTAAACGAGTTAACGGGACACGTGCGCCTACTCCACTGCGGTGCGACCCATTGCTTTCGTTGGATCCAACAGCCTTCCCGCCCTCATTTTGTGTCCAAGAAACCTTAAACAACATCTGACCTTAGAGCTGGTTCTCTTGGAGCGTTCCGAGTCACCCCAGCATGCGTGTAGGTCCCTAGAATACCGAGACAAACTGCTCCGTTGCCACTCACCACCATAATAGAGACTGTACATTGATGTGCGGTATTCCTTTGGTCAACAGTGGCATCGCTTAACGGTTTTTCACTTAATGTCTTGCCTTCCATAGGGACCCATTGTTTTGATTAACGTTAACATTTTGACTAACGTTAACAGTGTGACTAAAGGTACGTTTACGTTATGTACGTGGCCGTCAATTTCGGCCAATCATAGTGCTCGTAAAAGGGACTGAGCCATGCCCTCAGCCAGTCGGCGACACCACATATGAGCGTTTAGACCTCGACTGGCTTTGTTTACATTACTTCTGTTTTAGCAGTGGAACGGATTCATGCTTTTGTAGTGACTGTGATTGTCACTGTGGTGCCGGGCTTACGAAGCCACGGCGGATAATGTGTTGGCATTATGTGTAGCCCGCTTACTGGGCGTAGTACCAGCCCTAGCGGGGCTTTGTGAGCGCTGGTCAGCGCGGAGGCACCACATACAGTGTGCGGTGCGGGCTCCCGGTGAGGGAGCTAGAGGGAGTGTCAGCCAGCCAGGGTTACGTTGGGGCATGATACGCTGGTTGACCTGCCGACACGTGACCGGATGATATTGGAGGGGGGGCCACCGGTGGACGGGGGCCGCTGGGGGGGTCACGTGGTATAAAAGAGCTCTCGGGAGCCTTCGGGAAAGAGCTCGAGAGATCTAGAAGGTGAGCGGGGCGAGGGGCGGAGCCAACCCCAGCCCAGGCCGATATAACGGGGGTCCCGTGAGGAGCTTGGGGTTCTTGGGGTTGTTGGTGATGAAGATCCACGTCGGGTAAAAGAAGCCTCTAGCCACGTGGTCCGGGACCCAGCTTGTGGTCCGGGCCGGAATAGCGAACCATGTCTAGTTCTGGCATAGCGTGGCTAGATGGGCACTCAACGCCTAAGTGTAGGTTGTGTTATGTTATGTTGAGTTACTAAAATAGTGTTGCTCCCAAGACCACGTCTACGACTTAGTTGGACTCACTACACTTTTAACATGTAATTCCTATATTCGAGTAACAGTTTTCGTGGAACAGATTAAAAATGTTGACCGAGGGACTACTGTATAGCTTGACGGTCATGTACATTTTGTTATAACAAAAATCATGAAATGTGGCACAAAGATTAAATTGTTGCTGCTTTTGATTTGCCAGGAGGAATTAGGTTTGAAAGCGCTGTGTGTATTTCTTCTGTTGGTGTACACTTTTAAAAAGAAATCCGTAACAAAATTGGAATTCTGAAAAGTAAACTTGTGACCTGTAATTATTGCGCCGAGTAGGCCACCAACAGACTAATTGGCGTTTCGTTCTCGCAGGCGAGGTTCTGTGCATGCGGAGCTGTGTGAGCAATAAGTGGCACCGCGTCAAAATAATTTCCATCCGGGCTGGCGAGGAGTTGTGCGGTTCTGTGCAAGCGGAGGGGGGAGAGGGCACGGCCAGCCTCGGGCTTTTACGAAGCATCGCATTGCAAATGCGGGTATTTGACGAGCGGGAGTCGGAAAACGACGCGGTCCTCGGAGTGGCGACAGCAGCCGAAATGACGTCGTCTGTGGAAGCTGGGCACGTGGCCGATGAGGGCATTGTGAAGGCGAGAGGCAGCACTGCTGGGCAGACGCTGCATGTGGCCGAGAGAAGCGGCTGTGGTTTTGTCGAGGCAGATTACCTCTCTCTGCTTGAATGCACACATCCAAAATCCCCCGGCGTATGTGGCTCGATCACGAGCTTGCAAAAGCGAGAGGATGCAGATGGCAAACGCGCGGACGCACGTGGAAAGGGCCACGTTGCCAAATGGAACTTTTCCACCGAGAAGAGCGCCGAACGTGCTCGTGAAATCTGCGAAACGAGCAAAAAAATTGGAGTGGTGTCGGGTCTGCTCACCTGCTCGGAGGAAATGGAAATGATCGACGGTGTCTTGGAATGCGGCTGGGAACACGAGGACAACTGTGCTGCTGCACCTGACAGGCACCCAGGAGTGGAAGGTGAAGCCCAAGCAAGCGCTGACACTCAGTCGTCCAAACCGGCCTTGGTTTCACAGGGAGCGTCATCATTCCCCATTGACAAAGTAACCAGGCTGAACGTTTTCCTGGTGGATGAAGGAAGAACGGAAGTGTTTTACGTGAGAAGGTATTGTCATTCTAAATAAGAACGTCTTTTGGATGTGCGTGTGTGCGTGTGTGCGTGCATTTGTTTATGATTTTTTAAATTGCCCTGTGGCAAGCGATGCTCTGTAACCTTTCGTTTGGGAAGTTGGTGGCCGAATTTGGTGACATAATCCACATGATTTAAAGCTTTCGTGACTGCAGGGATTCATATTCTTGGTCCTTTCGGTAAGGTCACGTAGAAGGGAAATAATACAATTATCAGGACATTTCGATTGCAACAAGCAATAATCATCAGGTGTGAAAACCACAGCAAGAAAATTTGAAAAAAGTGGCGTTTTTTCCCTATCATTAGCACCACTGCCAGCATCTGGCGGTTGTTCAGACGTACGAGTCCATCTATGCTCGGAATGGAGGGGGGAGAGAAAGATAATGGAATGCGGTCTGAAAGTCACCGTAAGTGTGAACACAATTAAGACCCAAAATGGTTTATCAAATCCTTCCAATGATTGCTAAGCCAGAATCCATCTTCTCAGTTGAAATTGTCTGTGTTTGTATATGTGGATAGCCTCATGAACGAATCTCTCATGGTAGCCAGATGGCTTGCAGAGAACCTCTGTCTTGTGAGCCCACTGAATTATAACAGTGGTCTGCCACGGCTGAGGTGTTGGTCCTACCGTGTTTTAGGTCTGCTTTGTGTTCACCGATGCGGTCCGAGACATGTCGTTTGGTTTCTCCAATGTAACTGCTACCACAGAGGCAACTTAGTTTGAAGAACATTAGCCTTGAGAGGGACTTCCCTCATCAAGACTCTACACCATAGAGCCCAATGCATCTCCGACCAGGAACACATTGCCAGTGAACTCAAGCACGTACACCAAGCTCTCAAGGCCATCACTCCAACCATGAAGAAGGACCCTCTTGAGGAGCCATTCAAAACCATCACTTTACCCTACATTGCGGGGGTCACAAAAAGATCTCCAAAATCTTGAATAAACACAAGATACATGTCCGATTCAACACTGTACATAAAATCCGTGATCTGGTCCCGTCTGTAAAAGATGTGATTCCAGACATACGGTACCCTGGCGTCTACAAACTAAGTTGCCTCTGTGGTAGCAGTTACATTGGAGAAACCAAATGACACATCTCGGACCGCATCCGTGAACACAAAGCAGACCTAAAACACGATAGGACCAACACCTCGGCCGTGGCAGATCACTGTTATAATTCAGTAGGCTCACATGACATTGACTTCCCCAAGACAGAGGTTCTCTGAAAGCCATCTGGCTACCATGAGAGATTCGATCATGAGGCTATCCACATATACAAACACAGACAATTTCAACTGAGAAGATGAATTCTGGCTTAGAAATCATTGGAAGGATTTGATAAACCATTTCGGGTCTTAATTGATTGTGTTCACGCTTACGGTGACTTTCAGACCGCATTCCATTCTCTTTCTCTCCCCCCTCCTCCGTTCTGAGCATAGATGGACTCGTCTGTCTGAACAACTGTCAGTTGCTATCCGTGGTGCTAACGTTAAGAAAAAACCACCACTTCAAATTTTCTTGCTGTGGTTTTCACACCTGATGATGATTGTTTGTGTTGCAATCAAAACGTCGTGATAATTGTATTGTTTTATTTTTATTATTGTATTATTTCCCTTCTACGTGACTTTACCGAAAGAACCAAGAATATAATCCACATGCTTCTTTTTTCCAGATCTCTCTGATATTTCCCGCATTTCTCCACTTAAGGGTGTTTTTTTATTTTACAATATCTCTGTTGGGTAATCCACGTTGCGGGGGTGTCAGCCGTGTTTCGGGGGGTAGACTGTGATGATCACTGAGATCTCGAGTTTGATCTCCAGCCATGGCCAATGGTGGGGTGATACCTAAACCGACCGTGGCCCTAATGAGCTCCAAAACCTCAAAATATTTTTTTGGGATTCATTCCTTTTTTACCGACCGTCTTGTTAATTTCTCTTTGCTGGTATTTTATTCGATGCTTTTTTCTCCTTGGCACCTTTTAGCCAAGATCAAAATTATGAAAAATAAGAATAGATTTTACCTTTTTACTTGTGTTAAGTTCAAACACCAAAATAGATGGCCTTCTTTGTGGCCTTGTTCACGAACAGTTCAAAGTCTTTGTACCGTTCGCCTCTTGGCATTCTCTGGTATAACACTGGTGAGAGCCATTTTTAAAGCAATTTGTAAACATTTAATTGCACTCTATTATAAATAAAATGTGGTGTTTTTTTTACATATTTGTGGGGCAGGTGGAATTTTGTAAAGTTAATGGATGCAGCAAAATATTAAAACCCACCCGAGATCTAGCATTGTCCCAACAGTAATGTGAAATGCACTCTCAGCCTTGTACAGGTATCCCTCGATTTACGGAAGGGATGCGTTCTTCAAATGCACACACACATGGCATAAAAACGAAATTTCGTAAATTGGGAACTTATTTTCCCTTTAGTTTAACACTAACAATTATGGATGTGGCCATTACAACTCTACTTATAGCCTAAAACACACTGATATTGCGTTTCAAGATACGAAAATAATAAATAACATCATTATTAAAGCGATTAAATAATAATGAATAAATAAATACAAATATTCACCTTTTCAGGGAACTCGCAAAAGATCTGCTGCGTGTTGGAATGCCCGGCAAGGTGATGTGGATGCATTGCTGTTGCAGGGACACGGTGGTGGATTATTGTTTGCCGATCTCACGGCGTGCGTGCCGTAGTGACATTTTTTTAAATGCCGAAATCCGTTTTTGTTCATCGAAAAAGCATCCATAATTTGTAAATTGGCGTTCACGCGAAATTCCGTAAACCAAACGTTCGTAAACGGATGGATATCCCGTATTGTTATATCTGCCATGGACGTATTACTCGTCGCACCTCTACATGTATGTGAATCTGTGTGATGCTCGACAGTTAAAATAAGTGCGCGTGTATTCCAGTAAACGTGCGCTCAAGCAGAGCAGAAGGAATGCCGCGTGCGCGGTTTCGGATTTGCAGCCACATCTTCGTCGTCCAGACCACGAGCTCCTGAATCTGTTTGAGAAAGTCCCAGCGGCCGCCGTGCGCTGTGCTCTCAAGGATGTGGTGCCCTTCGTCGCGGTGAGTCACACGCCGCCACCGTCGTCACGGTGAGTCGCAAGCCACCATCGTCTTCACGGTGACTCGTCACGATCGTCATCATGGTGAGTCATGCACCACGATCGTAGTCATGGTGAGTAGGACGCCATGACTGGTGTCACTGTGACTCACGCCACGTCCGTCGTCAAGGTGAGTTGCACGCCACAATCGTCATCACGGTGAGTTGCGCGCCACAATCCTCACGTAGGCCGAGACAGCCGTGTGTCATCCTGCAGGTTAATTCGGGGGAGTCGACTGCAGGAAATCAACTGCGTGTGTTCTTTATGGCTTCGTTATTTTTTAGTTTTTCCCCAGTTCCAATTGCGCTGTCAACACCGAGCAGTGAGATGCCCTCTCCAGAGTTCTGTTGCTAGCAGTGCATCACTTTGTGTCAGTGAATGGCTCCAGACGGGATACATCAGAGAAGTGTTTCTGGACCTTCACCCACATTTAAGGCACATCTTTTAATGTCTTGCAAGCGGTGTATCTCGCGTGTCAAACCAAAATGTTTACATCTCAGAGCTGGAATTTGGACAAACGTTTAAGTGTGAAATAAGATTTAATCTGATGTGTGTGCAGTCATTGACCTGGCTGAGACTATCGAGATGTTATCTACCTTGCCTGGTATACAGGAGGTCGTGGGTCCTTTCCCGACCCTGACACCTGCTGCATATTTAGAGTTTGTTTGCGCAACCCGTGGATTGTGTGGATCTTTCTCTAGGCCCACAGGTTTTTCCCTTCCACGTTTAGAATCGACATACATTTTAGAGTATTTGGCTGCAGTACATTTCCCCTTGTCATGACAACTCGTTGTTTAGAGGCAAGATCGCTCTAACTTATTAGGCTGCTAAGTGTTGAAACTGGGCCCAAGGGGGTGTATTGCCCAGCTGATGTGTGTGCAGTCATTGACCTGGCTGAGACTATCGAGATGTTATCTACCTTGCCTGGTATACAGGAGGTCGTGGGTCCTTTCCCGACCCTGACACCTGCTGCATATTTAGAGTTTGTTTGCGCAACCCGTGGATTGTGTGGATCTTTCTCTAGGCCCACAGGTTTTTCCCTTCCACGTTTAGAATCGACATACATTTTAGAGTATTTGGCTGCAGTACATTTCCCCTTGTCATGACAACTCGTTGTTTAGAGGCAAGATCGCTCTAACTTATTAGGCTGCTAAGTGTTGAAACTGGGCCCAAGGGGGTGTATTGCCCAGCTGCATTGCTCTCTCGAAAGATGTTAAACATTGATGAGGTGAGGGGAACCACTTGGCTAAAGTTGAAAATTTAATCAGATTTTTGTTTAAATTGTATCACAAATATTGAATTGTGAAGTTTTTTAATTAGTATATTCTCTCCATTGTAAAGGGTGAAATGTACATGTAACAGTGCATACTGCCGAGCACAATCGGTGTATTATTGCATGTGTAGTGACATCAGGGATGTCACTGTATGGTGCTGACCCGGAAGGGTCATGCTGTTTGATGTTCCTACATCGTGGACAGCACCGTGTGGGTGGCTGTGTGTAATACCAGCCCTAGCGGGGCTTGGTGAGCACTGGGATAGTGCGGGCACCACACAGCGTGTGGTGAGGGCTTCCCCGTGGGGGAGGGGGGGGGAGTGTCAGCCAGGGGCAGGGTTGCCCCGGGCCATGGCACTCTGGTTGACCCCGTAGACACGTGATCCGGAATGTCCATACAGAGGGACTAAGGGGTGATCACGTGTCCTGAGAGAGAATTCTTGAGAAGGATGGAGAGGGAATAAGACTGTTCGGGAAGGCGGGTGGGGCCGAGGGCGGAGCGGCCCCAACCGGAGAGGGATATAAGTCGGGTCCCTGAGAGGGACCGGGGTCTCTTCGTTCTACAAGCTGGAAGTTCCGCGTCTCAAGCTGGAAGCGCCCCGTCCTACGGGGGACCATGTGGTCGGAGACCGAGTGAGGGTCCGACCCTTCGTAGCAGTAGCTCCCCTGTATAGTGTAGTTAGCTGGGTGTTGCCTCTAAAAGGAACGTCTGTGACTCAGTTGGACTCACTACACATGTACACTTTGTGTAATAATGTGCACATTGGGGGGAAAACGAAGTCACGTTTGCCGTCTTGCGTGTCATCGTTTTTTTTCCCCCGTCGTGTGTTTTTTATGTCTGGCTCTGTCCGCTTATTCATTTTCTGTGCCACGGGGATTTTGTCGTCGCCAGGGTCAGGGTTGGAGTGCAGAGTCGAGCAAAGCGTTTGCCGAGATGCTCCAGGGACAGATTGTCCACATGGTCGTGGCCGCCAGAGCCGGCGATGTGTTCATCGTGGACCTCGTGAAGTCCCCGCACAACCAGGTGGAGAACGACGTCCCGGTGTCGCTCAGAGATGCCCTCGTCTTCTTGGAGCTTGCCAGGTGCTGTGCGCACGCGTGGTGTGATACATGTTCGCGTGTCGTCTTGGTGTAATTAATGTGCGTCACGCTCATGATGCGTGCATTGCGGTTAGTATAGTCGCCTCACGTTTTTTTACGCACGCGATTTTGGAATTTGCACGTCAGATTAATTTACAACGCGCTTCAGTGCCTTTGGCCCACGCTGTTTGGAATGCGCTGTGAGCAGCTGATGGTTAGTCAGGGCAGAAAAGTTTAGGTAGCGATGCTGCCTAAGGGGTAGCAGCATTACGACAACAGCCAGAAGTGCGGGACATCAGCATCAGTCAGCATCTGCTCCTCACGTGACGTTTTAAAGATCTTTGTCCCGCGTGAACTTTGTCTTGTGCACGCATTTGCCTATCATTATGTCCGGTAAGCATCTCACTGTGTGTTAAAAGTTTTTTTAAACTTTAATATGTTTATTTTTTCTTTATTTAATTGATGTCTTTAGGTTTTGTAAATATATGTACCTACTGTAACCAGTGAAACATGTAGATGTAAGAGTGAGGCTTGATAGCGTGCTCTCCCTAACACCAACCATTTTCTTTTTCTAGTGGGGAAAATGTTTAATTTAGGTCATTTTGAGTTTCTCTGCCGTTTTTCAAGGACACGACCTCCACGTAAGACGAGAGATAGCTGTCTAATAGTAATCTAAAGATTTCGATTCTGTGCCGATTCTGCTCATTGTCAGAACGTGCAAGATGTAGCACCGATAAGTCGCTGTTGGATGAGATGGCACAGATCAAAATCAGACGATACAAATGTGATACAACATGGGACACGGTACGGTTGATGGTACAAATCAACATTACAAACATGGCAAGGGCTCATTCCTCAAACATAGCGTGGATTGTGACCGGTAGATTCACGAGGTCTGGGGGATTACAAATTGTTGCGCGCCTAGAGAGGGAAGTTTTGCAGACGGGTTAGATGGCAATCGGTCATTATTGTAGAGTAATGCTCTCCCATGTTACAGTTGATAGGGGATGTAAGCACATGCAGACAGTGACTTTTAATATGGCAGCTCCCTTTGTAGGGGATGTAAGCACACACTGACTTTTTAATATGGCAGCTCCCTTTGTTTATAGGGGACTAGTTTTAATACCCGGCTTCGCCCAGGACTTGGATTCTTGTCTTGGATTAATACACGGCCTACGCAGAGGGTGGGGGGGGGATGCGTGACGTCAGCAGGCACACAGCGTAACGCTGCCACATGCGAGTGACATCACAGATGTGACATCACCGCTCACTTGCTGTGCAAAATATATCCATTAATGTGCCCCCCCCAAAAAAATACAAAAGTCTTATTTTTATACTTTTTGCATTGTGTACAGTCTGGAAATTGCCCACATGTCAAATTTCAAGTTTGTTGCATGTCGGGAAGTATGCTAAACATTTCGAACAGACACACATATTCACAAATTTCCCTTTTATGTATATGTAGATGTAAGCACACAGTGGCTTTATATGGCAGATCCCTTTGCCTATAGGGGATGTAAGCACACGCAAAAAGTAGCTTTAACATGGCAGCTCCCTTTGTCTATAGATGATGTAAGCACTTCGACAGTGGCTTTAACATGGCAGCTCCCTTTTTTATCAGTAAAAAACACAGTTAAGATGCTTATAAATGATGAATAAAAATGATCGGTTTTACCCTTTCTGACAATAAGACAGGAGGTTTTAAGATGTTTAAACACCAAATAAATACTCATAATAAAGGTTTTTGGGTTAGATCGCGTTTATTTATAAATGCGTCGTAACCCTCCACCACCCGACACGGCCAATCAGCAAAAAAAAAGTGTCACGTTGACAAAAGACAAATAATTCACTACTTCAGCCCACCGGTGTGTTGAACAGTTAATCCACATTTACAGTTTGAGTACGACGTTTCTCTGGTAAATACTTCCAGCATCATCGGGCAATTCGCCAGAATGGTAAAGCCCTCGCTTGCTCCCGGTTTTATATAGAGCAGCAGGGTGATGTCATCACTTAACTCATCAGGTGCAGTGATTAGAGGCGGAGGGGGGGGGTAATGTAATTATATAATCGATTAGTAATCAGTCATTGGTTATGATTAGTAATGAGTTGTAGATTAGTAATTCTTTAAATCAAAATGTAATGTGTATTATTTAATAATACGCTTCCAGGCCGCACTAAGCCGGTAGCTGTCAGAGCGATTAAAGTTATTCCTGTTCCTCTCAATTTCAATGGATTCTCTAATTAGTCTTTGCCAGTAATAATTAGTTTTACACACCACTGCAACATTGTCAAAATCAATTGAGTGTCCTTGTTGACAAGCATGTTCTGCCACTGCCGACAGTTGTGTTTGAGATAATTTAATATTTCTCTGATGTTCTTTTAGTCTTACGCTGATGTTACGTCCCGTCTGCCCAATGTAGCAGCTGCCACATGAACAATTAATCCGATATACACCTTCTGTTGATAGTTTAGGTAATGCGTCTTTAGTGCAAGATACTAGTTTTTTAATTTTGTGTACTGTACCAAATCTTACTGTAATGTTTTGCTTTTGCAAAACGCGGGCTAATTTGTCAGTTACTCCTGAGATATATGGAATTTTTATTGTTTTAACAATCTGGTCGCTTCAGTTGTATTGCTTTGCGATCGTGATTTGGCATTCAGTGCTCTGTTAATTTGAGCATTATTGTAGCCATTCTGTCGTAGTGCGTCTTTAACGTGTTTAATCTCTCTCACTAGACTCTCACCATCTGACACTGTTTTCGCCCGATGTACGAGTGGTGGAGGGTTACGACACATTTATAAATAAACGCGATCTAACCCAAAAACCTTTATTATGAATAATATTGGTCGCGAAAGCCTACGTGTTAAACCAAATAAATACGTTTTACAAGACATCAATTCTGCATTAACTACACGTACTTGCGGTGAACATGCAAACAAACATGGCCTTGATAATCTATGCATTGTCTGTGAAACAGATTGGCCTACACAAGAGACAGCCTTCTTTATGGCCTTGTCTTACCACCGGTGTTAGATCAGAGAACCACGCCACAAGACGACCATGTTCATTAAGTTTGTAGAGCTAGCTATCCATGATTGAGTCAAACTTTGCCCACTTTTCACCCTGACAACTGGAGAGCACACACTATAAATGCTACTAAGCTATCATTAAAACTAACAATCATAACATATTTAAGTATCACAGTCAAGAGACTATTAAAATAAAAAAAAAATCTCATCAATGGGTTCTTGTACTATCTGGGACACTGCTCCAGTGCCCAACTAAGCTGCTATTATTATTTCATTGAAAACACCGTCAGCATCACCTGAACGCCACCAGGAAAATGTTTGCAATTGAAAAGCAGTTACTTGAAAGCCAGGAGATTGAATCCATAAGAGAGGTTTTTTTTAATATACAATTGCAATTTATATATAAATATATAAACCGCCCCCCGCCCCCCCCCCCCCCCGGTCTTCCTCCTGATCAACAGGAGGAGGATTTCTCCACAACTTTGGCTGTAGCCTGATGAGACTGGTTGTTGTAATTACCGGCGAAACATCACAATACCCGAATTGTAAATGTTGTGGGTTTACTCTCCAACACACAACCGGTTAGTGCTGAACTAGTAACTAATTGGCACGTTTTATTTACATGACAAACCTTACTAATTGGCTGAGTGGCGTGTGGTGGTGGCGGGTCTAATGGCATATTAAATTTTATGCCATCTCATCCAAAACCAAAAAACCTCATCCATAATATTTGTCGTGAATGCCTACTACATGTTAAAGGAGATTGATTGTGATGAGTTTTGTTATTTTTTTGGTGTAGATTAAAAATTGCAATTATCAGTTGGTGGGCTAATGCTCATCTGTTTAATTGCCTTATAGACATTTTTTTGTTTAGATTTCGATCTAAGCCAAAAACCTCTGTGTGATGGCATTATTTATTATTGTTGCGAGCAGGTTCCAGTGTGACTCCGCGCCACTCTGCGTGCCAGACCACAGGCCCGGTCGTAGCCCAGCCTTCATTCCACCCAGCAATCTCCAGCCCCTCGCGTGGCTCTGTCTCATGCTGAGCCACATCAACAGTCCCAGCGACTTCTACGTGCAGCAGGTAAAACGCTCGCCGGGCCCCAGCAAGCGATTGCGTCTCTTGCACATGTTTTGGCCCCGGGGTCGGACCGTGCTCCGCGCGTGATTGTTGTATGGTGTGTGGCGATGCATGTAGCAACAAAAATAGATTTTTGCAACAAATGCAAAATAATGCCAGAAGCATATCTTTCAATGGGCAGTGCCTTTCTCGTCGGCGCTGCGGACATGGATTTTGTTTTCAGGTAATGCCTGAAGTGGGTGTCTCGGTGGCGAGATGTTAACTACCTCACCTGGTATACAGGAAGTCGTGGGTTCGATCCTGACCCTGACGCCTGTAGATTTGGAGTTTGCATGTCTCTGTCTCTACCCACAGTCGTGTCGACTTTTCTCCTTGTACTCCAGGTTTTTTCCTTGATTTAGAATAAAAATGCATTTAAAGTATTTGGGCTGCTATACATTTCCACGTGACAAGATACTTCGTTATCATTTGTAATAGCCGGATCACTTCTAAAAAAGAGCTACATAGCTCATTGACTGCATAAATTACTCATTTCTTTTCTTAGGTTTGTTGAAGTCTCGTCTCTCATCTTCTTGTTGTATTTACCTCCGTGCAGTTTAACGCTCTCTATGTGTTGCGTTGATGTCACCCTATGTGCTCCCTCGCTATTTGTTTTTTACACCTGATGATGATCGCTTGTGTTGCGGTCGAAACGTCGTGATTTATTTTAATATAATTTTATTGTATTTCTACATATGTGTAGAAATACAATAAAACTGGGGGTGAGATCAGGGAGGAGCAGGCGTAGAATGGGCGAGGTAAAAGAGAGGGTTGACACTGAGATGGTTTGATACTGAGATGGTTGATACTGAGGTAGCACAAACTTTTTTCTGGACAGTTCCAAATCACGTGATACAAGTTTTACATTTACTCCCATCAAACAGTTGAAACTGAAATAGTTTTGCTTATTTTAACTATTATGATACAATCTACCATTCTGTCGTGTGTTAACAAACAATGTGTTCACTTATTCTTTGGGTCTTTTAGTAAAGCCTTAGTAAAGCCATGTAGATAGAAAAATAAAAAAAGTATGACGTTTCGATCGCAACATAAGCAATTGTCATCAGGTGAAAAAATAGTGGGAGAGCTGCTGAGGCAGGAAAAAATATAGTGGGAGAGCTGCTTAAGCAGGATGTGAAATAGGTTTGAGATGGGTGTAGCCCAAGGGTAAGTGGGCAGGGCTAGAGATGGAATTTGCGTGTAAATGTAAGATCGGAGAGCTGATATGCCTCCACGACTACGAAGCTGTGGAGGCGCTATCTACGTGGCTTTACAGAAGAACCCAAAGAATATTAATTCCTGCAGTCCCATAAGCTTTAAGTCAAATTTTAATGCATTCACTTTGTTTGTAGACTTCAGATGCCACTGCGCACGGTTGACTCGTTTGGTGAAATCTGGGGCCTGAGTACAGACAACGTATGATGTACGGACAGATCTCGCTTAACACTCAATATGCGTTCCTGGAGAAGTGAGCGATCATGGAATCGGCGCGAAAAGGGTCGTTACACCATTACATATATTGGGATGCGTTCCCCACAGCGCTATTTTCTAGCATATGAATAACATACGAAGGCTTCATTTGGGTACTGGTAGTAGCACAAATAATATGGATGGTAAACATCTTTTCTATAAAACTAGCTTGACTACCCGGTTTCGAGCACAAATCTCGGACAAGAACATTGTTTGCACACTAATCTTGTCTTAAAGGAATCTATATAGCACCTTAACCAAGGCACTTTAAAAAGAATTAACGGTACAACAGCGTATGAATGTGGAGATGAAGTGAATAAAATTGATGAGAGGAAGCAATGGCGAGCTAATCTGTGATGATGCAGGAATTTGGTGAAAGCAAAATTGATGACAGACAATGATGATGCATGGATTGAATGAATGAGTAATGGGTGAAAGCCATATGAGAATACTACCTGGCTTCGCCCGGGACTTGGATCCACCGTGCCCGGCCGCCTTTGTCTCCCCAGTGGTGATGTTAACACACCACAGCAGTTACTCGTTTGAGGCTGAGTCGACCTAGGGGAGGCCCAGGACCGGTTCAAATAATAGTCACCGGTGGTGGCCGTGAGCGGGAATCGAACTCGGGTCGCCGGGTCCGTAGCGCAGCGCGCTAACCACTACACTACCGCTCCCCCCACACACACGCGCGTCCATAGGTACACATACACGCGCTTGCTGCAGACACAAAACTTTCAGGGTGCGTATGGCAGTAAACGACCCAAATAATCAACCAATGCTGCGCGAAGAACGCCTTAGACCTGCAACACATTTGTATTTCACTTTACCCGCGGAGGGTTGGGGGGGGGGTGCGTGACATCAGCAGGCACACTCCGTTACGCCCGCATACGGGTCACATGACAGATGTGACGTCACAGCTCACTTGCCGTGCAAAATATATCCATTATTGCACCCCCCCCCCTCCGCAAAAAATACCAAATTCTATTTTGATAATTTTTGCATGGTGTCAGTCTGGAAAGTACCCACATGGCAAATTTCAAGTTTGTTGCATGTCGGGAAGTATGCTAAACATTTTGAACAGACACACATTCACAAATTTCCCTTTTAAATATAGAGATGAATTATGTACCGTACTCCCGAGTGCATTCTACTGTACTCCTACATTCTCGGAGGTGAAAACTCGCGAGACCAGGATAGATAAGGAGTCTCACAGGCTCAACCTTATCACGGGGGGGGGGTGGGGGTGCTGTGTTTCCTCGGCCGTTATTGCTCCTGTTCCTGCTGCTCCTGCTGCTCCTGCTGCTGCTGCTCTTGCTGCTGCTCCTGCCGCTGATCATGCTGCTGCTGCCGCTGCTCCTGATGCTGCCCACTGCTGCTGTCCTGATGCTGCTGCCGCGTGTTCTCGCTCATAAGCGGATTTTGGGATATTATTCTGTGATTTTTTTTTTTGCTTCTCCAGAACAAAGAACGCCGTGACGAATCGGCGTTCTTGCGTACGGGATCGCGTTGAGCGAGATCTCCCTGTATTTTCTGCCAGGAAATGGTTCGCGTAGGATCTGGAACTGTTGTGCGTATCCCAGCAGCATTGCAAAACTGGGCCTGCCAGTCAGTGGTTGCTAGGGATTGTCATCTCTCCCATGTACAACAGCCAATAAGCTTCCAGCAAGATAACCCTCTCATGTACCATGGCGTCATTTCTGTGCACTACAGCCGGGTTGTGATGTGAGAGTGCATGTTTGTAATTGTTCCAGGGTGATACTTTGCATTGCAATGTCTTTATGTGCGTGTGTGAGTATCATGTATCTTGTGCCGGCTTTAATGGGTGCTTGTTAACAGTCTGTTAAAAGGCTGCATGGGTAGATGTTTGTGTATTTATGACAGTGCGTCTGTGTAGGGAGAGTATATGCTATTGTACGTGTGTATTTGGGAGTGGATGTGTTTGTGATAGTGTGTGACTGTGTGTGTATAGACATTAGAACGGTAGTGTAGTGGTTAGCGTGCTGCGCTCCTAACCCGGCGACCCGAGTTCTATTTCCAGTCACGGCCACCATTAGTGACGATTTTTTGAACCGCTCCTGGGCCCTCCCCTTGGTCGACTCAGCCTCAATTAAGTACCTGGTATGGTTTTCGATTTGAAGCTTTCGTGACTGCAGGGATTCATATTCTTGGTTCTTTCGGTAAAGTCACGTAGAAGGGAAATAATAAAAATAGAACATAATAAAATAAAATTCTCACGACGTTTCGGCCACAACGCAAGCAGCCGTCCTCAGGTGAAGAAACAGAGCTGTCGGAAAGACAGCGTCCTAATGAACACTGCTAAGCTTGGCAGTGTATCTTAAGCTGGGTCGGGGGAGGAGAGAGCCTTCACAAAGGAGTTTACATATCAACAGAGGAATTTGGCATATTGATGACAAATGCAGATATAGGGTTAGTCACTCCTTGCGGAATGTGTGGGCGGTGGGTTGTCCCAAAGTCATATTATGCTCGTGTATTATGTAGGATTAGCAGTAATAAAGGGAGGGAAATTTCTATAATAAAGAACTGCAGCAGCCAAACAACGACGTATCAAGCTAGTGCATTATGTGGAAAACAAAAAAGGAGTTTCTAAAGAACTACAAATACCCTACTACCATACAATAAACCGATGTGAAAAGCCTAAATATAAACTCCATCAATATAATCAATGTACTCAATATACTCTCCAATAAGTTGAGCTATTAACATTAAGTAACTGGGTATATACTACACTATATAATGAATACCATATAGTAAGCTGATAAAAAAACTAAAATATAAACTACATCAATATAATCAATATACTCTCAAATAAGCTGAGTTTACATATCAGCAGAGAAATTTAGCATATTGACGCTAAGCAACTGCAACTACCCTACTACTAACAATAAGTCATTATACATTACAATTTTACGTCGCAAAAGATATATATAATATGCCTCCAACTAAACTTTTTTCTACATCACACGACTATACCCCGTCATATACACTGCCATAGACAAACCCCAACATTGAATTATACACTGCATTATTAGACTATACATTGTAATATTACACTGTATTATTCTACAAACCATACTGTATACCACACTGCTGTATATTCACTATACAATTACGATACTATATATTACCTTATACATTATATTAAACATACTATTTTTCTATTTATTATTATACAATCTGCTATACACCATATCATTGACCGTCGCATGAAAGGTACTACGAGGAAGCAAAATATATGTAATGGGAGAGTGGTAGCAGGAAACTTGTAGCGGAGCAAAGACTCCGATCCGTGAGAATGCAAAAGATTTCTAGTCAATGCCAGCGAAATGGGCTGCGGTCTGAAAGTCACCGTAAATGTGAACACAATCACTCAAGACCCGAAATGGGGGAGGGAGGAGAGAGAGAGAGAAACAATCACGGTGCGTTACTCTGTCATGCTAAGCTTGGCAGTGTATTTTAAACTGGGTGGGAGGAGGAGTGCGCCTTGACAAAGGAGTTTACATATCAACAGAGAAATTTAGCATATTGATGACAAATACAGATATGGAGTTAGTCACTCCTTGTGGAACGTGTAGGCGGTGTGGGGTCTCAACGTCCTATTATGCTGTAGTGTATTATGTAGGATTAGCAGTAATAAAGGGAGGGAAATTTTAATAATAAAGAACTGTATATCAAGCTAGTGGATTATGTGGAAAACAAAAAAGGAGTTTCTAAAGAACTGCAAATACCCTACTACCATACAATAAACCGATGTGAAAAAAATAAATATTAACGACATCAATATAATCAATGTACTCAATATACTCTCAAATAAGCTGAGCTACTGACAATAAGTCATTATACATTACACTTCTTTGTCGAAAAAAGTGGCGGTTTTTTTCCTTATCGTTAGCACCACGGAAAGCAGCGAGCGTTGTTCAGACGGACGAGTCCATCTATGCTCGGAACGGAGGAGGGGGGAGAGAGAGAAACAGCCACGGTGCGCTACTCTGTCCTGTGCTGCGTGACAACTATGCTATAAACTAGACTACTATATTTTGATTTAAAGATTTCGTGACTGCAGGGATTCATATTCTTGGTTCTTTCGGTAAAGTCACGTAGAAGGGAAACAAAGAACCAAGAATATAGACTACTTCTAGATTTGAAGCTTTCGTGACTGCAAGGATTCATGCTCTTTGGTTTTATTCGGTAAAGTCACGTAGGTAAAACAAATGAAAAAAAATGTTTATTTTATTTTAATTTGTTTTACCTACGTGACTTTACCGAATAAAACCAAAGAGTATAATATAGACTACTATACATTACAATATTATACCTTCCAATCTAATCTACACTGTATAATATCGTATACACAGCCTAACATGAGCTCTAACATTATGCATTATATTGATGTACCTACAACTAAACTTTTTTCTACATCACACGACTATACACCGTACTATACACTGCCATAGACAAACCCCCAACATTGAATTATACACTGTGTTACTATACACTACCCTATACGCACTTTTTGGCAGATCGCAGTGTATATTTTTAGTTTTTATTGTTGTAGTTATTAGTCATGAAAAATGCGTATACGTCCAGTATATTCATTATTTAAGTTATATGCAGTGTATAATGTACTGTATAAATATTTGACACTGAAATCAAGCATAGCTACTTTTTTGTCACGCACACGGTGCTGATTGCCGGACTGGTTACAACCATTGGAGTGGTTTTGCCGGTCTCGCCCGATCGGCCTGAGACTGCAGGATAATGTTGGAAGCCGGATAATCGTGCTGGGGATAATCGATGATCAGCTGTAGTTGGTATAAGGAGTGGGTTTTTTTTTACTAGCGCCCTGTCATGGCTTTAACTCGCTTTGCATCGTAAAACAAAATACTTTGCCTTTTGTGGTTTCCAGGTGAGCACGACAAAGTGCTTGCTGGAGCTGAAGGGCGCTCTGCAACGCTTCTACCGGGACTACCGCAACGATTGGACGGTCGTGCATCCCACTGTGGGACAGCTTTGTGTTGCCCAGTTCAGCGCAGACCAGCAGTGGTACCGTGCCCAGGTCATCGGTATGTGCGGAACCGTTAGTCTCTAATGCCACGGATTGGCTTGGTACATGGGGTTAATAATTAGCATGTTAGCATGTAAGCTATTAAACTTATAAGCCCCCAACACTGAGCTATGTAGCTCTTTTTCAATAGCAACCTGGCTATCATAAATGATAGCTCATCATGTCTAAATGTATATCAGCCAAACACTCTTAAATGCGTGATGTTGTAAATGTGGAGGGGAAAAACCGGAGGACCCGGAGAAAAATCCATGCAACCATGGGGAGAATATACAAACTCCAAATATACAGCAGGTGTCAGTGTCGGGATCGAACCCACGACTTCCTGTATACAAGGTGAGGTAGTTAACATCTCGCGACCTTGTATCCTAATCTTTCATCCGAACTTAAATTTTGCTGTATTCCGTAAGCGACCATATAATATTTTACATGCTTTTGTTAATCTGTTAGCGTATCAGCCTTGTGCCATTTTAGGCCAAGGGGTTTGTTCGTCCATACTTCACCACTCTGGGGAATGGAGGCTGGTGCAGTGGGACCGGACCGGCGCAGCGTTATCACTCACTCGTGCCTTTGCAGCAAGGAAGGACCTGTCCTCCGTTACCGACTAGGGTGCCTTTCGATGTGAAGTTTGTATGTTTTCCCTCTTGTTATGGACGGGGCTTTCCTCAGGTTCCCTCGTTCCTTCAGTAGCCGAAATAAAAACACATGGTGAATAGTCTTGGCTAAACATTTCACGCTCACAAAAATACCTGCAAACATTGGTCAGTTGGGATTATTACTATTGCAAGATCTTTGCCATTACAGACCTGGAAAATTATCTTGGCTTGCCGAGGTGTTCCTGTTAAACATGCTGTAGTAGTAATCCTTATGTTATAATGGATGTGTTATTTTTGTGAAAATACATTTGGCAACAGAGACTTGGGCTGAGCTCAGTTTTTGAACTCGGCACGTCGGGTTTGCCGAGTTCAGTTTTCGTAGCAGATTACAGGACACGCCCTCAACTGTTGCTTTAAAAATACACTAAAGAAAATCCTCTTTACGTTCGAGATGGGTTTAACACCAGGGCCTGAACTGGTCCCGATCCCACCCTTCAACAGCGAACCCTGACCAGCGTGGTAGGCTATTGGTCAAACAACCCCAGTGATTGACAAAGAGTTGGGGAAGCTTTCATCCAGCAGTGGAAATATAAAAGGGGGCTGTACATTAACTATAATCTTTGGATCTTTAGGTAAAGTCACGTAGGTACAAAAATAATAGATCACGACATTTCGATCGCAACACAAGCAATCGTCATCAGGTGGGACAATGACAGCAAGAGAAAACTGCTCAAGTAGGCGAGAGATCTGCTGTGGCACGAGGTTATATAGGCCTCGGCAGTAGGGGGGAGAGAGAAGGAGGGGGGGGGAGGAGGCGTGGCAGAAAGTGGACCCCGCAGCAGCACCCGGACCACTGGAGTAAAGTGGACCACCGTGGCAGCACTGGAGAGATCGACTGCAGGGGCCTATATAGCCTCGTGCCACGACAGCTCTCTCACCCACTTCAGCATTTTTTTCTTGCTGTGGTTGTCCCACGTGATGACGATTGCTTGTGTTGCGATCGAAACGTCGTGGTTGGTTTTATTTGATTTTATTTCTAACTACCTGACTTTACCGAAAGCACCAAAGAGTATTTTTTTTATTTTTCTTTACTTGATGAGATCTCACATTGTGCGTCGTTACTGCCAGAGCAGTGGTTCTTAACCTTTACTGCAACCTGCACCCCTTTGGTTCTCAATAATAAAAAAAAATAATGTTAATAAACACATAGGGTTTGATGAAACAGTAGTTGTACTTACATGCCCGTGCTTAATTTGTTTTCGATTATGTACCTTCTAAAATTATCTGGCCATATCGCGCATCCCCAGAAAGGGCATCTCGCACCCCCATGTTTAGAACCACTGACGTAGATAGACATAGCTGGCTCGTGTAGAGGCCGACCGAAATTCGGTTTCGATTTCGGTGCCGAAAGTTGGCAAATGGCCTCTTTCGGCATAGTTTCTGTTTCGGCCGAAGCCAAAAAGTTAACTTTCGGTTTAGGCCGAAACTGATATTGACTTTCGGTCATCATTCGTCAACCGAAGATCTATTTTTAGAATATAACGCTCGTGCTACGTCTCACTATGCCTATAGGCCGGTCAGTCGGCGCCAGGCAATCCTATGCGATAGGCTGCAAACACACACACGTCAGCAGCAGCAGCAGCTTAGGAGCGAGGTTACAGCCTCAACCATGGTCTTCTAATTAGAGGCTGACCGAAATTTGGTTTCTGCGCCGAAAAGTTGGCAAATGGCCTCTTTTGGCATCGTTTCCGTTTTGGCCAAAGCCAAAAAGTTAACTTTCGGTTTACTTTCAGTTTCGGCCGAAAGTCAATTTTTTACTTTCAGTCTGGTTTCATTTTCGGCCGAATCCAGAAATTCAGTTTCGCTCGGCCTCTAGGCTCGTGACTGCAAAGTTGTTTGCGATCGTCTCTGTGGTGCTGCTGTGCGTAACCTCTCCCCCCGTAGGTTTGCCGGGCAAGGGAGATGTGGAGGTGAGATACGTTGACTACGGGAACACAGAGCGCACCTCGGTGTCCTGCATACGCAAACTGGGCAACATGTTTCTACAACTGCCAGAGCTGGTAATTAAAATAATTTGCATTGACCAAAGTTATAACCCACCACATGTGGCCCCATGGTACAGAGGACTGTACCGAAAATCCGATGATGATGGCTGGATTTAACTACCGGCGAAACATCACAGTACTCAAATTGTAAATGTTGTGGCTTTACTCTCCACACCGGTGTGCTGTACTCGTAACGAATTGGCACGTTTTGTTTACGTGACAAACATTACTAATTGGATGTATCAGGTGGTGACGGATTAACCACACATTTATTTTTACGTGATTTAACCCCAAAAAAACCTCTTATGAATAATATTGGTCGCGATGCCTCCTACGTATTAAACTGACCTCCCTGCTTATTTGGATATATATCGCACACAGTGGTATTCCAAGAGTCTGTTTAGGTTTTCAGCATATGACGCCCGTGAGGAAAGAATGCAGATTTACAGGGTCAAGATCTCTGCTTGGCTCTCCTGCAGTGTCTAGAGCAGCATTGAGGAATGCGCTCACCCCTTGCATTGCGTAACTTCCCTGAAGCACACTGCACACCGTCGCGGGTGACCAAGTGGCTCAGGAAATGAGGGCCCCAGTAGTACACGGCTCTTTTAAGACTGTGATCCTAGAGGTCAAGGGTGCCTCAGTGGTTAGGAGATATTAACTGCCTCGCCCGGTATACAGGAGGTTGTGGGTTCGATCTCGACCCTGACGACACAGGAGGTTGTGGGTTCGATCTCGACCCTGACGACGCCTGTTGTATATTTGGAGTTTGCGTGTCTCTCTCTCTTCGTGGTCGCGTGGAATTTTCTCTGGGTCCCTCCGTTTTTACACGCTTTCTATTAACTCACCCTGTTGTCGTATCCTCAAATCTTGTAACTCAATTTTAACCCACTTCCCAATGTGGTATCGACTGCAAACTTGGTATACTTATAGCATACTGACGACAATACTATATTATTATATCATTAAAATTAAGAACATCTATTTTTAAACATTATTTTTTAATATGTTACTAGCGGCAAGTACCCTGCGTTGCCCGAGGGAAAAATTAATTTAAAAAAACTTCTCAAAACTTAAAAACACAACATACAAATGAAAATAAAACTTTGATCATTACCTCATTAATTAAAATAAAACCCAACGCGCGGTGAAAATAAAAACTTTCGCTCGCGCGCCAAGATTCGATTCTTTAAATTGAGCAAAGGAACCGAAGGTTGTAGATTTCTTTAGAATCGGCCTATTCACGTTTAATCGATACCACAAACGCTCACAAAATATCGATTCTCGCCAGTCTTGTATGCGGGTTGACGCCACACACTTCATGGTGATTCTCTCCCCCCCCCCCCCAAATACAAATGTCTTTTTTTAAACGTTTTACTTTGTGTACAGTATGGGAACTAGGCACATGGCAAATGAAAAGTTTGTAGCCTAGTTTATTATATCCATTATTTCCCCTCCCCCCCAGCCGCGCATTTGTGCGGGATACAGGGCCTACGCGAAGGGTTTGGGGGGGGGGGATGCGTGACGTCAGCAGGCACACTGCGTAACGCTGGTGACGTGACAGAGATGTGACGTCACAGCTCACTTGCCGTGCAAAATATATCCATTATTGCGCCCCCCCAAAAAAAAAATACAAGTGTATTTTTATAATTTTTGCATGGTGTACAGTCTAGAAAGTACCCACATGGCAAATTTCAAGTTTGTTGCGTGTCGGGAAGTACGTTAAACATTTTGAACAGACACACATTCACAAATTTCCCTTTTATAAATATATAGATGTTTCGGCTTAAGTCTAATTGTCCATGGTCAACTGACATTGGCTGTAAATCACCACGGTCCCTTACGTTATGGAAAGCTTCGGGGCCACTTCCTCGAGTCGTGGAGTTCTGCCATTACGAGTATGGTACATTTCATTAAAGTGTGTTTAAAAAAAGAAGTATTTTAAAATGTTACTGATTTCCCTCTACATTTAGAATCATTGACACATGCGTTGAGAGTATTTGGGCTGCTATATATTTCTATGTGATAAGTCAACCACTTTGTTGAGCTATAATTTGTGATAGCCAGGCCCCTTCTGAATAAGAGGTATATAGCACATTGGGCCTTAACTGGTAAAAGTATAAATCGTTTCAATTTTAATTTTTTTTAATTGGAGGTGTTTTGAATACTTGCAGAGAGGGCATTTTGCCAATACCCAACTATCCTGCATTGCCTCTGCCAGCTCCCCCCCCCCCGTCGTTGATGCGGTGTCTGTTGTGGCAACTGCCTGCGTGTGTGAATGTGTGGCGATGCCCCACACGGCCGCTGCGCTATCCAGGCGGTGCCGTGCACGCTGGCAGACATCCGCGCAAACGGAGAGTGCTGGACAGTGGCGGCCATGGAACGCTTCCACCAGATAGTGGACAACAAGCACCTGTGGTCCTTGGTTACCGGTCTGTAATGCATGGCAATGTATTGCTTGGCTCGCCAGATGAACCTGACATACACTGCACTCACCACTTGAACATGACATACACTGCGCTCACCACTTGAACATGACATGCAGTGAGCTCACCACTTGAATGTGACATGCAGTGAGCTCACCACTTGAATGTGACATGCAGTGAGCTCACCACTTGAATGTGACATGCAGTGAGCTCACCACTTGAATGTAACATGCAGTGAGCTCATCACTTGAATGTGACATGCAGTGAGCTCACCACTTGAATGTAACATGCAGTGAGCTCATCACTTGAATGTGACATGCAGTGCGCTCATCACTTGAATGTGACATGCAGTGAGCTCACCACTTGAATGTAACATGCAGTGAGCTCATCACTTGAATGTGACATGCAGTGAGCTCACCACTTGAATGTAACATGCAGTGCGGTCGCCACTGTCTGTAATTGCAAATGCAGGTGTGCCTAAGACTGGTACCTGTAAAGAGAATAATGTATTACCAATCCTCTTATTTCTAGCTCTGACAGTTTCATCTGTGATGTCTGGAGGTGGTTAACAGCAGTGTTGGAACTGGTCCTGACTGACTCGCCCTTCAACAACCCGCACTGAGCAGTGTGGTAGGCTACGGTCAAACAACCCCAATTACCCAATGGCCCTAATCAGAATATTTATTTATACTGCAGGAGGAATCCGATTATCTACAGAGCTCTTTTTTACAGGTGTCCAGTGAGGACTGACAAAGCGTGAGAGAAGGCTTTCATCCAGCAAAATGTCGTTATCACATTTGGTGTAAATTGATGATCGTCTTCCAAAAGTTTTCCTTGAGATTAATTTTGTTGAATCGGCACTTTGACGTTGGTTGGATTTTTGCATCTTGACAAAGCAACAAAGTTGTCCATGGAAAAAAAGAGGTTCATTGATGTAAAGTCCAACATACTCAAAAGTTTGTCATTTGGCTTATTGACAGTGATAGCAAATCCAGGAATGATTGGAAACAGTTTTCTCTTCAAAATAACTGGTACATTACAATCTGACGGTGCCAGATCAATTCTGGGAATGAAGACAATATCTCTACGATTGGATTCTGAAATTATGTCATCCATAACAAAATGACGGTGCATTTCATGAATCACCAGACAGTGTGCCATTGCATAATCTTTTTTTGGGGTTGAGATTTCGAATTGACATTACAATGGTTACTTTTTTCAAAACCAATTAATAAGGCTGCATTCCAGATGGTGTTAGCAATGTGTGCAGAAATTCTACTGGATAATTTGTGACGTCACTTGGATCCACATAGCCTACCCAGCGTTACGCAAAGTGTACAGTGCCAGGCGTTAGGCACTTATAACCAGAACTATATGTATAATGATGATTTATCTTAAGACGTTGCCTGTCCTGCAGTTTTTATCCTGCCTGCTTTTTGCCAATAACTGACTTTTAAACCAATCTAATGTCTTGCCTCATTCCTGTCAATTTGGACTGCATCGTCTCCTGCTATTTCCTTGTTATACGTCCGAATCATTGAGTTTTTCTAGCTTACCTGTCAGACCGAGAAACTGTAGCTGTCATTTCAACCCCAGTAAATATTAAACCTCTGTTACATCCTTGACCTTGGAATATTCATGACATTCCCCTGTTCCGTCTTTGCTACACGGTTGCAGTCTTGCTGTGTGACCAGATGTTTTTAAACTCCTGTCTTCTTCCCTGCTGTGGGATGCGTGTGTGGTTTTGTCGTCCAGATAACAGAAGTGGCAATCACGTGTCTGTGCACCTCTTTGTCGAACCGGCCCAGTTGTTGAGCAAGATGCTGGTGGATGAGGGCTTCGCACAACGTTTTGGACTCCGGTATGGACTTGGGGTGCAAATGCAATCACCAAACGCGGACGCGAAACCTCGCAGCAGCACCTCAGCCCCCATCAGCCGACAGTGCTGGCTTTTCTGTTCATCGCCTCTTGGCAAGATCATTGTTACATGCTCTATCATCAAATGATGGCTCTGATGAAAATGGTAGAAACATCACATATGGGGAAACCTCCTAAGCCGCACTCGAGTGAGCTGAAACTTTGGGTAAGCTGGGAGGTTGCTCTAAATGTATTAATAAATACGTATCTCGAGCACAAATCTCGGACAAGAACATTGTTTGCACACTGATCTTGTCTTAAAGGAATCTATATAGCACCTTAACCAAGGCACTTTACAAAGAATTAACGGTACAACAGCGTATGAATGTAATTGTGGAGATGAAGTGAATAAAATTGATAAGAGGAAGCAATGGCGAAGCTAATCTGTGATGCGGGAATTTGGTGAAAGCAAAATTGATGACAGACGACGATGCATAGATTGAATGAATGAGGAATGGGTGAAAGCCATATGAGAATACTACCCGGCTTCGCCTGGGACTTGGATTCACCACGCCCGGCCGCCTTTGTCTCCCCAGTGGCGATGTTCAGACACCACAGCAGTTACTCGTTTGAGGCTGAGTCGACCTAGGGGAGGCCCAGGAGCGGTTAAAATAATCGTCACCGGTGTTGGCCGTGAGCGGGAAGCGAACTCATGTCGCCGGGTTCGTAGCGCGGCGCGCTAACCACTACACGACAATGCGTTACGCTTCCACATGCGCGGGTCACATGACAGATTTGATGTCACAGCACACTTGCCGTGTAAAACATATATGCATTATTGAGCTCCCCCCCCCCCAAAAAAACACAAAAGTGTATTTTAATTTTTTTGCATGGTGTACAGTCTGGAAAGTACCCACATGTAAAATTTCAAGTTTGTTGCATGTCAGGAATTATGCTAAACATTTTGAACAGACACACATAATCACAACTTTGCCTTTTATATATGGAGATGAAGAGGAAAACTAATGGTGGCAGTTATGAGGGGGAGATTAAGGGGCTGTGGGATAAGTTAGGGAACGATTACTGTGAGTTTTGAGTGTGGAGCATAGGAGAGTATGCACTTGCAATTTTTTTACTTTACTTATCCGTTGGGTGGAATTCTGTGAACCTGTTTTTTTGGATGCCACGTCTTCGGCTAAGGCGCTTCTCATTTTTCACATTTTACTGTTCTGGCAGAATTCCATTCATTTGAATGGCGATGCGGGACTTGCCATTGAAATTAAATTGGATGCTATGGATGGGTTCCTGGATTGTCTGGACACAATCCCCATTCATGTCAATGCTAAATGAGCACCAAATAGTTGAGATTAGAAGACATGGCAGAATGATTGTGGGGGAGTTGAGAGGAGGTTTACAACGGGAGAGGAGGAGACGCACGTGCAGCGTGGAGACGGTGGCAGGCTTCTGGGACTTGCATTGTCATGTTGGGTGGCTGTCGGAGGTCGCGGACCCGAGGGAAAGCCCAAGAACCAAATGATGGTGGTGATGTGAGGGGAAATCCTTAAAGGTGGGAGTGCCAGGTATGTCGTGGTTGTTAGGGTCTGGTAGCATGAAGGAAGCCATGGCCTTGTATTGAGGCAATAAACATATCCAATCTAGATTTGAAGTTTTCGTGACTGGAGGGATCCATACTCTTTTGTTCTTTCGGTAAAGTCACGTAGGTATAAAATGAATTAAATCACGACGTTTCAGGCGCAACACAAGCGTCCGTCATCAGGTGGGACAACCACAGCAAGAAAACAATTGCTTAAGTGGGAAAAAGGGCTTGTAATAAGAGGCTATATCGGTAAGAGAGGGGGGGAGGAGCCAGGGAGGAGAGATGGAGAGGGGGGTTTGGGGTAGGAGGAGTGTAGTGCTGCTCACTAGAGGGAATGAGGAGCGAGGGCGCCAGGGAGGAGATATAGAGAGTGGGGTTTGGGGTAGGAGGAGTGTAGTGCTGCTCACTAGAGGGAATGAGGAGCGAGGGAGCAAAAACAAAATGCCGGGGGGGGGGGGGGGGGAGAAAGTGAGCGGGGCTGGGAGTGGGAAGCTGAGGAAACTGGAGATGCGGATATGAAGGCAACACCATAACACAGTTAAGGTTTTACCTGGTTAATAACATCCTTCCAATGATTGCTCAATTTGTATCCATCTTCTCGGTTGAAGTTACGTCTATGTTTATATGTATATCTGGATGGCTTCATGAACAAACCTTTGATAGTAGTGTTGTATATGTGGGTTATGAAAATATGATAATAATTTAAATCAAATGAAATTTGTATTTTTAATAATTTGTCCGAAATTATGTTAATTTTTGTAATTATATGCATAAATTATGCTAGTTTGAGGGATAATTGTATTAATTTATGCGAGTGGGTGTGGTTATGTTCATGACAGCCTTTATGATAATCAGACCCCGCCTCATTGACGAGGGTCGGTTATCAATCGGGATAATACAATTAATCGTATGCCGTTTTGCTAGTGTGATGCGGTATGCCAGAGTCAACTCGGCTTCGCTGTTTAACTTCGTATTATCGATCAGTATAATACAATTATTCTCGCTTTAACGTTTATTGAGTGGATTAGTGTGTTTATATTTTAGGTCACCAAGTTCATATAACCAGTTCTTATGCATAGATTTCAGGAAATAATCACACGACCACTTCTGCATTAATCAATTTATTTCTAATTAAACCTTAACTCTAAAAGATACAACTCTCGGCTTGGAATTACAACACAGTATCAACACAGTCTCATCAATGACTGGGTTGTTTCACTTTGACACCAGCACCTGGTGTTAATTCCGCCGCGTAACGCGAGCTCTGTTGGTGAGAGAGTCGTTAAAACATGCATATGCTAATCTAAATAAAAACCTTAACTTTATAATAAATGATTATACTTGAATTGTTCACGCAGTACCGCACTCATTATTGATCATATGTAACCCTTATCACGTTGTTAGCACATTGGGTCACGGAACGGTAGAGTATTTTCTCTAAAAAAATGTGTCGGCAAATATTATTAATATCAATTTTGGAAAAAGGCGCATATCCAACAGTAGCCCAAAGGATTGCAGAGCACCTTAGTCTCGGAAAAAACAATATCATGAGAGCCCACTGCGTTATAGCAATGGTCAGCCACGGCGGAGGTGTTAGTTCTGCCGTATTTCAGATCTGACTTGTGCTCGCGGACACAGTCCGAGACATGTTTCGTTTCCCCAATGTAACACCCTCCACATGTGCAACTTAGTTTGTAGACTCCAGGATATTGCATGTCAGGAATGACATCCTTCACAGATGGGATTAGATCACGGATTTTGTGTACTGTACTGAATCGGACCTGGATCTTGTGTTTGTTTAAGATTTTGGAAATCTTTTTGGTAACGCCTGCTATGTATGGTAACGTGATGGTTTTGATTGGCGTCTCAGGGGGTTGTTTCTCCCTGCGGGGAGTTATTAACAATTTCAATTCTTTGTAAAGCGCAGTCCATTCAAAGTGTATTCTTGGTTCTTTCGGTAAAGTCACGTAGAAGGGAAACAATAAAATAATAAAAATATGAAACAACAAAATTATTTTATTGTTTTCCCTTCTACGTGACTTTACCGAAAGAACCAAGAATATGAATCCCTGCAGTCACCAAAGCTTTAAATCAAAACATTCAAAGTGTGTTATAGGTGACATCTGTGGCCATTATTGCACGATTAGGACTTTGCCTGTCTTGCACCTTTGTTCATTAATAGCTTACATAATTTTTTAAAATTCAAATCAAGATTTTAATGTGAGCTTTGAGTTCTTCAGGAGCTCTCTTGCACTCAAGAGTGTCTGTGTGCCTCAAGCAACACCAACAAACAGTGATGCACCGAGACTCAAGACGTTTGAAATCTCGAGGAAACAAATTCATACAGTCGTATTCTCCTATAACGCTGTGGTAGTTGCGTTCCTGAAGAACATCGTGTTTTGGAAAAATCGCGTTATAATTACAATTGTTGATTCAATGGGAATTAAGGGGTTGTATTTCAACAATGTAATATTTTTTTTTGTTCCTGGGTAGTAAGTATTATTTCCTAATTGCTTATGCCTCATAAGTACAGAAAATTAATATTATTCCCCACAAACTTTGATTTTGTGACCAGGACAGTGATATTTTGAAATTTACCTATTTTCCAGAACATTCCAGATAGATTCAGTGCTGAGTAAACTTCTCGAACATTCTAGAACTTTCCAGGAATATAATTAGGAGTATAAAGACAGGGGCCTTAAGCCCACCAGTTCAGTTTAGTTCCAGCTGCCTAAGTGGCTACATATCTGCATTTTTCTGAGATGGCATCAAGAGGCTGCAAGCATCAGGCAAATGCAATTTTCGATGCCTGTGGCCGATTTATCAAGACGAGCGAAAAAGTACTCAGTGGAAGCATCTGCTAAGATGTGTGAGGCCTACAAGGCATATTTCGGCATGCCTGTCGGGGATCAAGATAAAGCCTGGGCACCTCATTTCGCCTGAGCAATGCAAAAAAAACTCTGGAAGGTAAAGTGGACAATTGTTGCTCGGAATTTGATGTAATAAAATTGAAAAAAATTGTAAAAGTTTTTTTTACATTTTTCAATGTTATTCGAAAAAATATATATGAAAATGTTGCGAGAATCTCTTACACATTAGTCATGGGTGAAATAAATGTATTCTTGTAGGATGGCTACAGAGGGGAAAAGAGAGCCATGAAGTTCCGCTATCCAAAGAATTTGGTGGGAATCCACTGACTACTCAAGCAACTGATACTTATGCATGGTGGACCCTTCCAAACGTCGGACTGGCAAGAATGCACCTGCTATCACGTATCTGGACCTTCCTTCATTCATCACCCCGGTGCCACACTGCCAATGAGCTCCCTGTACCCACTCCTCCAGAGAGAGAGCCAGCCGTCTTTAGAAGAGAGTAGCAAGTCGAGAAGCGAGGAAGACGTAGATCCAAATGACAATTTCAGAGGTGGAGCTGAGGCGAGAAACCCATACTATACTACCCCAACCAAAAATACATCAACGATTTGATCAGAGATCTTGGTCTCACCGAGTCCAATGCCGAGCTTTTGACATCTAGGCTCAAGCAGTGGAACTTGTTGGATGAAAGTGTGCAAGTCGCAGATCAGAAGGAAGCGTCGCCAACCTTTTTGTAGCTTCTTCACCCGTCAAGATGGGCTCTGCTTCTGCCACAATGTGACCAGTCTGTTGGAGGCAATCGGAATCGCCTGTAACCAGAATGAGTGGCGCCTCTTCATTGACAGCTCATCCAGGAGCCTGAAAGCCGTGCTGCTCCACAATGATAACAAGTACCCATCTCTTCCCCTGGCTCACTCGGTGCACCTCAAAGAGGATTACAACAGCATCAATACTCTGCTGGACGCCTTGAAGTATGATGAGTACGGCTGGGAGGTCATTGGAGACTTTGAAATGGTGGCATTCCTGATGGGTCTCCAAGGCGGTATTACAAAGTTTCCCTTTGGGACAGGAGGGACACCAAGACGCACTACCACAGGCGGAACTGGCCACAGCGGACAGAGTTCTCTGTGGGGAGGAACAACGTCAAGTGGGAGCCACTGGTGGACTCCCGGACGGCGGTGATGCCACCACTGCACATCAAATTGGGCCTTATCAAACAATTTGTCAGAGTCGAAGATAAGGAGTCTACAGCCTTCAAGTACATTCAAGACTTCTTCCCTAAGCTGTCTGAGGCCACAGATAAAGAAGATCCTGGAGTGCAATGAATTTTCCCAAGAAGCTCACTATTAAGGAGAAAGCGGCTTGGAACAGCTTTGTCGTAGTGGTTTGTGGCTTCCTGGGCAATCACAAGGTCGAATACTATGTGGAGCTGGTTGACACTGGTGAAGAACTACAGCACAGTGGGATGTAGGATGTCCCCCAAAGTCCATATCCTTGATGCTCATCTTGATCTATTCAAGGAGAACATGGGAGCGTACTCGGAGGAGCAAGACGAGCACTTCCAGGATATAATGGACTTTGAACGCCGCTACCAAGGACAGTATAACAAGAACATGGTGGGAGACGATATTTGGTGGCTGATTCGTGAAAGTGATTTACAGTATAATCGGGAATCTCGAAAAACTACTCGCTTCCAAATGTTTTGTAATTTTTTTTATTACTTTAGTATAAATACGCGTTAATTTTGACAAAAATTTGCCCGTTTTCTCATGTGAAAATAGGTAAATTTCAAAATATCATTGTACTGGTCACAAAAGCAAAGTCTGTGGGGAATAATAGCCATTTTGTATACTTATTAGGCATGAGCAATTATGAAATAACACTTATTACCCAGGAACAAAATTTTTATTACGTAGTTTAATCAACAAAGTTGTGTGCAAAGCGAGACTAATTATATTTGGTAAAGCAACAGTCTGCGATCACACGTGAGATGCGTACGCAAGCTGAACAAAGACTGAGGCGCGTGGGTAGCATCTGGAAGCATCCAGCAGCATCCCGATGCCTTGTGCGATGATGCTACGCCGAGGCAGCCGCACAATTGCGTATTCCTACTCTCACGACGTAGTTCACTGCGATTGCGTTCTATCCAATTCGCATCTGCGTTATAAAAAAAAATGCGTCCTCTCATACATTCATTGCGTTATCCAATCTACGTTATGAAAACAAAACGCGGCGTTACGGGAGAACATGGACCGTTACCGGCGTATTTTAGTAGCGACTTGTAGAGCATGGGGCGTTTATCCCTTTGGTGTTACCGCAGCTCGGTGTCCTTGGAGGAGTTGAAGTTGGCGAAAGAAAGAGCGGCGGTGCAGACGGACGTGCCGGAGGGGCCATGTGGCGTAGAGGCTGCGGCTGTGTGGTGGTCGGGCCGAGCTCGCCGGGGCACGACGACGATGCCGACTCATGCCTTCGTCTCCTTCGTCAGGTCCCCCGCCTCCTTCTACCTGCAGCCCGACGAAGCGCTCGGAAATTTCCTACCCACGTGAGAATCACCGCACTCCCCCTCGCCTCTGCGGTCGCTCGGCTCGTCTCCGTATGCGCAAAGTTGCGTGGTGATGTGTTTATTGCATTTCTCTTTTTCCTATACTACTATAAACTAAACTGTTATTTTACCAGGTAAGTGCCCACTGAGCTATATATATAGCTCTTTTTCAGAAGTGCCCTTGCTACAAAGAATAGCTCAACAAAGGGGGTTATCATGTGGAAATTTATAGTAGGCAAATATTCTTAAGGCATCTTGAATCTAATTGTGGATGGAAAAATCAGAGGACCCAGAGAAAAATCCACGTGACCACGGAGGGAACATGCAAACTCCAAATATACAGCAGGCATCACGGTCGGAATGGAACCCACGACGAGTATACTGGGCGAGGTACCGCGGCACTATACTGCCGACCACCGTCCAACATTCACAAGGTTTCAGCAATTCCCTTCGTGGCCCCGCGGAACACGCTGCAGATAAGGTTTTAGAGGGCGTGCACACAGTACCCACAGTTCCCACAGTGTCCACCCCCTACCCACAAGCCTCATCCCTCACCACTCCCTACTCACAATCCTCATCCTTCCCTACTTCCTATCCACAAGCCTCACGCCTCACCACCCCCTACCCACAATCCTCACCCTTCCCTACCCCCTATCCACAGCCTCACCCATCTCCTACCCACAAGCATACAGGTGCCAATCGCGCAGGCGCCACGTGCACGGATGCCATGCAGTCAGGCCAAATACATAGCGGCAGTACTCAGGATTGCTTTATCAGATCCCCAGTAAGTCTGCGCTTCGGCTAACATTGTAGATCGCGGCGCAGACAGCCGAGTTAAACGTAAGCGCCCGCTCTACATGGAGCGTTAACGGCCTGCCGCCATACCGAACACACGTGGAAGCGTGCTCAGCAGCGTCAAAGCGAGCCGCCTTGAGTTGGGCGAGAAAGTTGACAGCCCTGACCACGGGGACGTGGCTTGTTCGGATGACGCGGCGACTTGCGGTCGCGAGCTTTTACTTGATCGGCGTTTCGACTCATCGGGACCGCTCCGTGTCAATGACCCGCGGCGGTCTCGAATGTTGCTCAGCCCAGGACTCTGGGCCTCGATCGGTCACGCAGAGCCAACGCCCTCCAAAACGTTGACCTGCAGCACATTGCGTTGCCGCAAGGGAATTGCTGAATGTTACGAGTAACGTTGAACTGGTGGCCCGCGGAATGGACTAGAGAAACAAGTTTTCCATTCATGAAAAATGTAATGGTATCTATTTGGGTGTTTGAACATCTTAACACCTATTTTATTGCCAGAAAGGGTTAAACCTATTCTTGTTTTTTTACACGCTTTTTATTAACTCTGTCGTTGTCGTTGTATCCTCAAATCTTGTAACTCAATTTTAACCCACTTCCCAATGTGGTATCGACTGCAAACTTGGTATACTTATAGCATACTGATGACAATACTATATTCTACCATGAAAAAATATATTTTTTTCAACATTCTTTTTTATATGTTATGTTTCGGCTTGGGTCTAATTTTCCACGGTCAACTGACGGCTGTTATTGACCACGGTCCCATACGTTATGGCAAGCTTCGGGGCCACTTCCTGGAGTCGTGGAGTTCTGCCATTACTGGTACATTTCATAAAAGCGTGTTTTTTTAAAAGTTTTTTTAAATATTACTTATTATACTTCGATGCTGGAAAATAGGTCCCGTGATAATTTATTATTTTTGTTTCCACAAATGACCAAACTCCTCCCCAAGTCTTCGTAACAGCCGTGCTTCATTGCTTTGTGTAGCAGCGCCACCGTGTGGATGGAGCCTCATAGCACTTGGACTGTGGCGTTTTTTCTAATTGTGTGCGGACATCGCATTGCGTCATGTGTGTGCGGGGCGCGCAGGCTGAAGGAAATGCTGGAGGAGCGATTTGGTGGGAAGCCGCGGCCGCTCGCTCAGGGCAGTGCAGCCGCTGCGCCGGCGTCTGGCGCCGATCTTGCCGAGGGCTCGCTGTGCGCTCTGTACAGCACAAACCACCGCACCTGGGCCAGGGCCCGGATCCAAAGCCTCCATCCTGACGGTCAGATTCAGGTCTGTTCCCATGGTCGAGTTGATGTTTAAATTCACGCTGAGCAATGAGTTGATTGCAACCTAGAGATGTAAAGTAGCAGTTAGGCCACTTCTGTCACCACGCCTTTTAGCTGCGTTCCGACCAAGGTTTTTTCTATACTCTTTGGTTCTTTCGTTAAAGTCATGTAGGTATTAAATAAATCACGATGTTTCGATTGCAACACAAGCAATCATCTTCAGGTGGGAAAACCACAGCAAGAGTTTTTTTTGCTGAAGTGGGAGAGAAAGGTTATATAGGTAAGAAAGGAGGGAGGGGCAACGGGGGAGAGAGAGGGGGGGGTAGGGGGAGGGGAGCGCTGCGTGGACGCTCGGAGAGGGACATGAAGCTGGATGGGGGAATTGGGCGGGGCTGGAAGTGGCAGGCCGAGAGAGCTGGGGATGCGGGGGTGGGGAAGTTAACTCGGAAAAATACACTCGTACCCGGCAGATATGATAGACAACAACCATAATGCGGTTAGGATTTTACCAGGTTAATGACATCCTTCCAATGATTGCTCAATTTGTATCCATCTTCTCGGTTGAAGTTATGTCTATGTTTATATATCTGGGTGGCTTCATGAACAAACTATTGATAGTAGCCCGAAGGTTTGCAGAGTACCTTGGTCTCGGCAAAAACAATATCATGTGAGCCCACAGCATTATAACAATGGTCAGCTACGGCAGAGGTATTGGTTCTGCCGTGTTTCAGATCTGCCTTGTGTTCGTGGACACGGTCCGAGACATGTCGTTTCGTTTCCCCGATGTAACTGCTGCCGCAGGTACAACACAGTTTGTAAACCCCAGGATATTGCATGTCAGGAATGACATCCTTCACAGATGGGATTGTGAGCATTTTATTGTTTTATATTTTTTTTACGTGACTTTACCAAAAGAACCAAGAATATAAGATGGGATTAGATCATGGATTTTGTGTACTGTATTGAATCGGACCTGGATCTTGTGTTTGTTTAAGAATTTGGAAATCTTTTTGGTAACACCTGCTATGTATGGTAACATGATGGTTTTGATTGGCTTCTCAGGGGGTTGTTTCTCCATAGTTGGAGAAACAGCTTTGCGAATAATGCGGGCCGAGTACCCATTCATCTTGAGGACCTGGTGTACGTGTTCCAGTTCATTGGCTAGGTGGTGTTGGTCGGAAATGCAGTGGGCCCTATGGTGTCGTGTTTTGATGAGGGAATTCTTCTGTGCCGGATGGTGGTGGGAATCAGGTTTCAGATAGGAATCTGTGTGGGTGGATTTCCTGTAGACAGTGTCCCAACGAGCCGTCAGGTCCCTTCTCAAACAAAACATCCAGGAAAGGTAGCTTACCATCCTTCTCCACTTCCATGGTGAATTTGATGGATGAGTGTATGGAATTGATGTGGTTGAGAAATTGGTTCAAAGCTGGCAGGCCATGTGGCCAAATGACAAAAGTGTCATCTACATATTTCTTCCACAAGGAAGGACGTTGGGTGGATGTCTGGATAGCATCTGTTTCAAATTTCTCCATGACAACATTCGCTAGGGGGGACCGATGGGGGTACCTTCATTTTGTTTGTAGAAAGTACCATTGCAGGTGAAGGAAGTGTTGGTAAGGCAGTGCCTAGCCAGAGTAGGTACATCAGGTTTCAGTCCATGTTGGACTAAGTCTTCAATTATTGCTAAGATGTCAAGTACAGGAACCTTGGTGAACAGAGAAACTACATCAAAGCTGACGAGCAAATCATCTGGGGACAGTGAAATGCCCTTGATTATAGAGCTCAAGTGAGATGAGTTACGTACTGCTGAGGTAGTCTTGCCCGTGAATGGAAGCAAGGTGTCAGACAGAAACCGGGCCAGTTTGTAGGTAGGTGAGTTGATAGTGGAAACGATGGGTCGAAGTGGAGTACCTTCTTCATGGATTTTAGGAAGACCATATAATCTGGGTGGTCTAGTAGCAGAAGGTTTTAGGGAGAGCCGTTTGAATGGTTCGATTAGAGAAGTCGAACTGGTAATGCTATTGTTGTTTTTTGTAGCCAGGCGGTGAGTAGGATCTTTGTTGATTTTGGTGTAACTGCCATCATTAAGAAAGTCCTGGATTTTGTTGTTGTATGTAGTTTTATCCATGATGACATTAGCATTGCCCTTGTCGGCCGAGAGAATGACTAAGTCATCTCTCTTTTTCAATTTTGCGAGTTCAGAGCGCTCATCTTCTTGGTTCTTTCGGTAAAGTCACGTAGAAGGGAAATAATAAAATGATAAAAATAAAACATAATAAAATAAAAGTATCACGACGTTTCGGCCACAACACAAGCAGCCGTCTTCAGGTGAAGAAACAACTGTCGGGAAGACAGCGTTCCAATGAACACTGCTAAGCTTCTACAAACAAACTGAGGGCACCCCAATGGGCTCCCCCCTATCTCCGGTTGTAGCCAACGTTTTCATGGAGAAATTTGAGACTGACGCCATCCAGACTGCCACTCTACGCCCGATGTTATGGAAGAGGTACGTGGATGACACTTTTGTCATGTGGCCACATGGCCAGCCGGCTCTAGACCAATTCCTCGACCACATCAATTCCATACACCCAGCCATCAGATTCGCCATGGAAGTCGAAAAAGATAGTAAGCTACCCTTTTTGGATGTCCTAATTAAAAGGAGACCTGATGGTTCAATGAGCCACTCTGTCTACAGGAAAGCTACCCATACGGATGCTTACCTAAAACCGGATTCCCACCACCATTCATCCCAGAAGAATTCCCTCATCAAGTCTCTACATCATAGAGCCAAATGCATCTCTGACCAGGAACACAATGCCAGTGAACTCAAGCACGTACACCAGGCTCTCAAGGCTAATGGTTACTCCGACTACACAATCCGCAAAGCCATCACTCCAACCATGAAGAAGGATCCTCTTGAGCCATTCAAAACCATCACCTTACCCTACATTGCAGGGGTCACAAAAAATATCCAAAATCCTGAATGAACACAAGATCCAGGTCCGATTCAACACAGTACTTAAAATCCGTGATCTGGTCCCGTCTGTAAAAGATGTGGTTCCAGACATACAGTACCCGGGCGTCTACAAACTAAGTTGCCTCTGTAGTCGCAGTTACATTGGAGAAACCAAACGACATGTCTTGGACCGCATCCGCGAACATAAAGCAGACCTGAAACACGGTAGGATGAACACCTCAGCCGTGGCAGATCACTGTTATAATTCAGTGGGGTCACATGACATTGACTTCTCCACGACGGAGGTTCTCTGCAAGCCATCCGGCTACCATGAGAGATTCGTTCATGAGGCCATCCACATATACAAACACAGAGACAATTTCAACCGAGAAGATGGATTCTGGCTTAGTAATCATTGGAAGGACGTGATAAACCATTTCGGTTCTTGATTGATTGTGTTTTACGGTGACTTTCAGACCGCAGTCCATTCGCTGGCATTGCCTCTTAGTACCTTTCACGCGACGGTCAATGATATGGTTTATAGCATATTGTATAATAATAAATAGTAAAACAGTGTAATGTTTAATATGATCTATAAGGCAATATACAGTCTCGTAATTGTATAGTGAATATACAGCAGTGTGGTATACAGTAGGGTTGGTAGAGTAATACATAGTGTAATATTACAAGTCTAATATTATTATAGTCTAAAGTATAGGGTAGTGTATAGTAACGCATGGTATAATTCAATGGTGGGTTTGTCTATGGCAGTGTATAGTACTGTGTATAGTCGTGTAATGTAGAACAAGTTTAGTTGGAGGCATATCAATATAATACATAATGTTAGAGCTTATATTGGGCTGTGTATACGATATTATACAGTGTAGTTTAGATTGGAAGGTATAATATTGTAATGCATAGTCTAGTTTAACACGTAGGCTTTCGCGACCAATATTATTCATAATAAAGGTTTTTGGGTTAGATCGCGTTATTTATAAATGTGTCGTAACCCTCCACCACCCGACACGGCCAATCAGCAAAAAAAAGTGCCACGTTGACAAAAGACAAATAATTCACTACTTTAGCCCACCGGTGTGTTGAAGAGTGAATCCAGAACATTTACAGTTTGAGTACGACCTTTCGCTGGTAAATACATCCAGCATCATCGGGCAATTCGCCAGAATGGTAAAGCCCTCGCTTGCTCCCGGTTTTAAATAGAGCAGCAGGGTGACGTCATCATTTAACTCATATCAGGTGCAGTGATTTGAGGCGAAGGGGGGGGGGTATTGTAATTATATAATCGATTAGTAATCAGTCAATGGTTATGATTAGTAATGAGTTGTAGATTAGTAATTAGTTGTAATGTGTGTTAGTGATTATATGCTATGTTAGTAATCCGTTAATTAGTATGTGTTTCCCCTATAAGGAATTGTAATGTGCATTCATATTCTTAGCTCCTTCGGCATAGTTGTAACGCAGCACAGGACAGAGTAGCGCACCGTGGTTGTTTCTCTCTCTCTCTCCCCCCTCCTCCGTTCCGAGCATAGATGGACCCGTCCGTGTAAACAACGCTCGCTGCTTTCCGTGGTGCTAGCGTTGAAAAGAAACCGCTACTTTTTTCGACATAGAATTGTAATGTATAGTGACTTATTGCTAGTAGCTCAGCTGATTGGAGAGTATATTGAGTTTATTGATAATATTGATGTAGTTTATATTTTATTTTTTATCAGTTTACTATATGGTATTCATTATATAGTGTAGTCTATACTCAGTTATTTAATGTTACTAGCTCAATTTATTGGAAAATATATTGAGTACATTGATTATATTAATGTAGTTTATATTTAGTTCTTTTACATCGGTTTATTGTATGATAGGTGGGTAGTTGCAGTTCTTTAGTGTTAATATACTAAATGCCTCTGTTGATATGTAAACTTTGACTTTTAACATAGCTATTTCCGTGACCAGTTACATGCTAATCCCTCACATTAACATCATGCTAATCTCCCAGTTACATGCTAATTTCTCATTATAACATCCCGCTAATC